ATTCGGTAGTTGTTAAGTGTTTGTGTACAACGTACTTAATTAACACAATGTGAGACTATCTCGCTTGTGTTAGCTCAGCCTCTGAAGGGGCCACAGAATATCAGTGTTGAGACATTAGTCCCAACGTAGCTGAGTAGACTCCTTTTCGGAGGCAACTAGTTTTTTTTTTAAATTTTATATGTAATTAGTTCATTTTTATTTTATTTGTAATGATTTTTATATTGTGTTTGTTAAATGTCTTGTGTGTCTAGATTACCAGACTAAGTCCAAGAATCCCGTGCTTGTCTGTCTTCCTCTATCATAAGAAATACAATTATATAAAAGTAGTATTTTTTCCCCTTTAGTTTAAGCTATCTAGGGTTTATCCAGGTTCATCCAGGGGGGTGACATCCGAAACCTAACGTAATCCAAGACCTTTGGGGTGCTAAATAACGTCGCGTGTTTCCTACCGATTAGTCGTGTAATTAGTTAAGTGCTTTTGGCTACACTTTAACATCTAGTATGTCATAGGTGCGGTACGGTTAGCAACTACATTAGATTATACGCTCCTATGCGACTACAGTTATGAGGAATCGTAAAATAATTTCGTTATAACTAAATAAGGTCTGTAGTTAACGAGTAGTACACATTTAAATAGAACTTTAACGGTTTAAAACGCGACCATTGCCGCTGCAAAACATCACAAACTTCGGGTCAGTTAAAATAATTTTCAAATAAATTTAACTAATATATATATCGCGTTTTAAACCGTTAAAGTGTTTTATTCTGTATCACTGTTTCCGAGCTTTTCTGATTAAAAAAATTCCAATTGTTTTTACACTATTGAATTTTTTAGATAGTACTAACTAACTGTTCTAGCTATACTAATGTCGTAAAGTTGATAAGTTTGTTTGAACGCGCTAATCTCAAAAACTACTGGTTATAATAAAAATAAAAAAAATATTGTAAAGATGAAGCCTTCTTTTGTTTCAATGCGGTAATCTCAGAAACCAGCAAGCAGAGAGCACCTAGTACTCTTAATTACACATTTATCTTATCGTTTTCGCGTTATATAATTATTTGAATGTTACGTGTGTATTTTAGGTTCAGCTAATTTTTATCACCACGGAGTCACCTTGGATAACAATTGCAGTGTTCACTTAATCATTAAAGTTATACAGGTGATGTTATGTCTTTCCGTTAAAGAGTTCGAAAATAACCTTTTTGCTACTCAACTTATTTATTTATTATTAATAGGAGTTACGAACCGCTCTAACTTAATCATAATATGTGAATAAGTAAAGAAAACGTCTCCCGTGACCACGATTGCCGAAAAGTTCAAAATCGTTCAAACGTCGGGTTATGTTAGAGGACAGTCGAGCACTTGATGGAATATATATAACGACCCACGGTTGAAATAAAAAAAATAATTGAACTATATTTAGCATTTAGAACTATTAAGAGGTGTTTTATTTTTTTATATTTAAAGTATAGTATGTAGTTTACTTGAGTATACTTAAAAAAAACTTATTTCAATTACAAAAGAATTCGTTTTGCGTGCAACATTGTCTGTACATAAGTCGACATTTAATAAACCGTTTTAACCGTTTCGAACGCGCAATATAATCAAAGACTTGACACGTTTCGGACTGAGCCGTGATAGTCAATGGTTTGTTTATTTTAAGGCCGCTGATAATATTAAGCAAAAATGTGCGAGACTTAACGAAGAAAGATGTTGAATTTTTGTACATATAATCTTTTTTATGTTGTTCTGTATCTACCTTCGAATGGACGGAAAAACGCAAATGGAATTATGGTCCACCAGTTAACTTCTCATCTGTATCCTGTTTTTTCTTGTCAATAAAAATATAAGGCTGACGACTTTGTTTGAACGCGCTTAATTCAGGAACTACTGGTTAAAATTGAAAAAAATATTGTATTGTTAGGCAGGTTACAAAACATCGCGCTGAAGAAAAAGCGGAAAATGTGGAAAAAACGGGAAAGAATATTCATCTCGGTGGGTTTCTAATGCGTACGCTGCGAAAACGGTTCAAGAAAATATGAAAGAAAAAATGATCCCCTTTTAATAATATAAAAACATGTTCGCGACACTATATGTTTACCGTTTAAGATTAACTCGCAAGAAAGACGGGACGCGACGGTTTGCGAAAACAAATCTTGATGCCCAAAATACTAATCTACGCGGACGAAGTCGCTGACTCAGCTAGTAAATAAAATTCCAGAAAGAAACTCAACTCTCAGAGCTTTCGCATTAATAACATCGGTTTTGCACATTTGCTTCCCTTCACAAATTCTCGGAAAGTGAAACGTTTTTCTCATGTTCGGATTGACTCGTGCAGAGTAAACATTAAAATGTCGGTCAAAAAGTGAACGTAAAGTCTCGTTCGCCGACATCGCGCAGACGAGAAAGTGAAATTAACATTTTTATTTATTGACATCACATATTAATTAAATGTAATGTACGGTTCTCGTACTCGTAAAACAAGGTGCGAATCGAAGGTTTTCGCGGCCATTGTTCAGCATAAAGAATTAATTCTTCGAGCAATCGAGGAGTTCACTTCTCCTGATGATGCCGTCCGCACGTGATGGCCACACGTCGAGAACCTCTTCTCGCTCGCGTCGGCCGAACAGCCCGAAAGTAGACACAGAAATATAATGAGATATACGGTTACCGCGATATGCATATATTGACGGGTCCATTGGTCTAATAATAGTAATGTATCGCTAACAATCATCGGGTCGTAGGTTCGAACCCTTTCTAAAAAAATATATATTTTAACTGAATGTTGGTCTTCGTCTGAATAACTGATATTAAATGGTTGGTAGGAATATCGAAATCCGACCAGCTCACGAACTACCGTCCACTGAAAAAGCCGTCCGATTAATCGCGTTTCAGTTGAGGCTGTGGTTTTTTTTCAAATGTCATGTCTACATGATTAAAAAAAAAATTGCGCAAACCTTCAAAATATTATATAAAAAGTTTGTGACCACTTTTATATCGACAAAATTTCAAAATAATAAATAACCTCCCGAGGCTATAACGCGTTGACTAGGATTGCGTTAGTCGCGTGAGGTCCCACCTTCGAATCCGGAGAAACGTACCTAATTATTTTATAGGCAAGCTACAAATTTAAAAACTTGCCAGTGCAAGTCAAGGTACAGACATTAAAATGTGTCCGTCGCATGCCCAACTACATTGTAATGTTTTATTCTAACTAGATTCATATTGGGAAAATAATCTTTTAAATGCTTGAAATATTTCTCTGGTGACATCATACTCAGTGTGTTCAATATCTCAACTACTCATTTTTAAAACATTGGTCACGTCTGACTCAACATGAGAAAACGTTTGATTCACGAAATATTTTAAGTGGATTAACAGATTAAGATATAAGACTTTTTTTATTATCTTAAATTATTAGATACTGTCGATTAGTTTACGCGAGTAGTACACATTAAAATAAAACACTTTAACGGTTTAAAACGCGATATAATATTTACACTTATTTGAAATGATTTTTAACTTCGGGCCGACGGGGAGACACGTGACCACTGCTGCTGCAAAGCATCCGAAAGTTTAACTAATATATCACGTTTTAAACCGTTAAAGTGTTTTAATTAAATAAATTAAATTATTAGTTTAACTATTGCAGAGATAAAAGTATATCTTTAAATATTTTTACCACTTTTTACGTCAAGCGAAATCTTAAAAGGGAAATTATACTGGAATTTGGGTGTAGGTTATAAATTTAATGTCTATAGATAACAAGTTGACGGTAATTTTAATGTGAAAAACGACAACACATTTGTGTATTTACTTAATTAGCAGTCACAAGTCAACCTACATAATAATCATAAAATAATTATTTTCTGAATCCTGACTCATGATCTTCCACAAATAGAATAGATTACAAGTAATTTATGTTTCCCCAACGATAAACCACGTACAATAAATAAAGACAGTATTATTTACCGATATTTAATAGGTTTGTTGACACTGGAACAATTATCGACCAATAAGAATGAAAATAACGCACGTCGACAGATTTTTTAGTAAAACGATAAACGCGATGCGAGATAATCTCAAATAATCTAAAAAAATGCTGAAAATCGCCATGGAAGCGTTAAAACGAGCATAAACTGCATGAAACCTCAGTTTATAAAACAAAAGCTGCAAAGAAACCAGTTTTGCAAAAATCTTAGATGTTTTTGGACTGCCGGCGTCTCAATATTTTTTTCTTAAACTACGCGTTTACTATTCAATTACTACAGATGGTAGGGGCTAAAAGTGTAAATTGTAATAATTATCGATAATTTCCCACTTACCTGTTTCTCAATGGCACAAAATGAATTAAATCCGTCTAAATCGTGACCCAGCGGGCATTAGCACTTGCAATGCAACCAACATTAATTTACTTGACGTCTAGTCATTTGACAATTTCATTTTCAATGTCTCGTTGTCTGTTGGTGTTGGTATCTGAAATATGTTGCCAGTTTATAACGCATGTAATATTATATTTGCGTCTGGGTCTTTTGTACTATTTATATTTAAACCATATTATTAATTATTTTACAATATTATATTTTTAAATACTGTCTATAGTTTACGCGAGTAGTACACATTTAAATAAAACACTATATTTTTATTAATATTTGATAATTTTCTCTATGAATTTTCTACTGTCTAATTATTATACGGTCATTGGCGATTAGCGTTGTTGTTTGAAAATATTTTGAAGTTGTAACCGTCAACTATCATAGGAAGGAGAGTATTATAAAAGATTGTTATTTTTGAATTATAAAAGTTCAATATTAATATAAAGAATTGTATTAGTGATATATAGTATTCATTTAACACGAGGTTTATAAAGTAAGTTGTTTTAATAGCAGGATATGGTGAGACAGATTCTTATATTATCATATAAATCTTATTGTAAACTCGAGTTTTAAGTTATCGTTATACTTGTGGAACTTGTTAATATTGTGTGATATTACAGAAAATGGCTTCTAAAGAGATTTTACAGAAGTTACGAGAGGACAGACTGGCTAGGGAACAGGCGAGGATACAAAAGGTATGATGGCTATGAAATTTAAAAACCTTTTTTGACCGTATAATGTGTGCGTACAACGTTAATTTTTCAATACATATCCCTAATAAAATGAGAAAAATTGACGTTGTACGCACACATTATCGTCATTATATTACTAAATGAAACCTCTAAAGCAAAAAATTGGGTGTAGATAGTAGATACACCCAATTTTTTGCTTTAGTGGAAATTCTTTTTGATGAAGAATGTTCTAAGTGGGTATGCACATGTAAGTATCATGTTAACAATATTAATATTTTAGCCATAAGTAAACATATTAATTTGTTTCAGTTAAGAGAACTCAACTTAAAAAAGTATGGACAGGGCGAAGCAATTAGAAACAATCTCCAGAAATCCAAATCAGATGCCTCAAGTGCACCGAAAAAAATATCCAATATTATTAATAATTTAAAGCCAGATATTCCAAAACGACCAGCCACAGTGTCTAACGGACTTTCAAAGACAACAGACAATATACCCAGTTCTAATGGAATCCCAAAGAAAGCACACTATCTTAATAACTTGGCAAGAAAAACAGATATAAAACCCTCCACCAATGGTGATGTTAAGAACAATATAAAAAAAGATGAAAACAAAATCAATAGACTCGTTAATAAACCCATCAACAATAATTCCGTAAAGGAGAACAACAATGGTAACAAAATTAAAAGTAATTTGGGTACTATTCCGATAACTAAAAATAAGCATTCTCTCTCTGCTATTGCAGCACCTAAGCCATTTGCACCCAGAAAGAGCTGTGTGCCAGTTTTAGCGGAGAGACGTGAATCAGTCTTTGAGAGATTATATAAGCCTAAAACAACACACAATGAATGTACGCATAATCATGAAAAGCCAAAGTTAGTGCAAAATGCAACATCCCTATCACAGAATAAACGTCACACTATCTCCGCAAATAAACTTCCTGTCCGTAGATCGATATCAGCTGTACATTTGAAGAAAATCAATAGAAGTGAACTAAAGAATTGCATGCACAAATGGGCATCTATAGGTGAGAAAATAAACCAAATTCCCCTTCAAAATATTAACGAAGATGATACTATTCAGGAGGTTGTATCTGCTATTAAGAGTGAACGGAAGGTCAAGTTCCACACACCTAGCAATCCAGATGACATGAGGTTGAAGCTTCAGAAATGGTTAGAAAAACACGGAAAGTCTGTAGACTCCTACCACCATTTGCAATGTTTTGGAGTGCAACGTTCTTCCGATATACCAAAGCTCGATTTTGATGAGAACAAGGAAAACATCTCATTGGAGCATGATAGTGACAATGAATCTTATACAGAGTTGAATAATGGTTTGGACAAATGGAGGTCTCCGAGTTGCATGGACAGTGTTGAATTGAATGAGAGTAACGAGACAACTTTGACAACAGCACTATCACCAAAAGTGGATGAGCTACTTCTTGGAGCTTTTAATGATTTGACCAGTATATTGAGGAGTGTAAGTATAAACTTTGTATGTTCATGAGTTGATTTAGATGTGTTATTTTGTTTCGCAATATATGAGGAAAGTGTTGGGTTTAAAACACAATTTGTTACAATTAATCATTTGTCTTGGCTCCATTGTGGATAATATTTGCAAATGACATAGACACAAGACTATGTTCATGTAGAAATAAGATTTTATTGTTTTTTTATTTCAGGGCTTTAGTTGGGAGGAGGGGGCGCGCTGGCTTCGCGCCATCCGCGACACCTACAACAATGCGCAAGACACGGCCGCTTACTGGGAATGTAGAGCAGCCTTAGAGGAGAGACGAGGAGACATGCCTGCCTCAGTGCAGTGCTGGGAGCAGGCTTTGGCCAAGGGGACGGAGGTGAGACAAAGCAATAAGTCATATTGAGATAAAAAAAAATATGCTATAGAAGGCACACAGTTCAATTTCTACAAAAAAAAATATATTATGGAGATACAATTTGTGTTTCTAGAATAATACTATTGAAGCCTTTGTGTGTGAATCCATCTAGTACTGAGTAGCAAGTCTTTGACATAAAATTGTGTGTATGTTCTCTTTTAGCATTCATTAGCGGAAGCAAACATCGACCAGCTGTTAGTGAAATTCATGCAGCTGAAAATTAACCCAGAACTCAACAAGACTGTGGACCCCAAACTCCTTGACGCAAAGAATGTATTCAAGAGCACATTACTACGTTTTGCTGTGCAGGAAGCAAAGACGTGAGTTTTAATATTTTTAATCAGGAAATGTCAAAGCTTCTTAGGTTAACTTTAAGCAATATGACAAAGTCTGTATGTTTGTCTGGAAAATGTGGACATTAAATTTGTCCTACTGCTGAAATGTAGGAATATGGAAAATCCATCCGCAGCAGTGAAGTGTGAACTATTCAAAGTGAAATAGGACGACAGCACATCGTGTTTCAATTTAACTGTACTGGGAACCGTATGGCTGTCATTAAAAAAATAAAAAATTTCAGGAAGCAAACCCTTACCCCCAAAACAATGGTGACGCCAGTCCGCCGTAGCGCAAGACTCAACCACAAGGAGACACCGTTAAAATTATTTAACACCATACAACAAGCTATTGAAGCAGAGCAAGCTGAGTTTAGACCAAATAGGGCAATTGCGCCCACGCCATAATCATATATCCAGGGGCTGCTTCAACTTATATTTATTACTTTCATAATTGTAATGAAATTAGGATTTCATTAGGTATTCGAAATAGCATGTCTTTCAGATAACATATAAATTATTAGTCTTGAGATAAATCAAAATAAATGTAAGATTATACCTAAAATAACACTTTCTCAAGTTGAAGCAAACTGGACTGGTCCAAAGAAACTTGGATGTTTTGCAATATTCAGTAAGTCGCCCTAGTATGAGTTTAAAAACAAGTAAGTTCTATAGTAAGTCTATTTGTTTTCTATAAAACTCATACTAGATACTAAAAACGTATTTTACCATAATAGCAGTAGATTCCAATAAATCCTAAAATAGCAAGTTTAGCAATCACTTAACATTTAGAAGTTAATTAAATAGTATTTGTTATCTTTTTGCCAAATATTTTAACTAACTTCTAAATATTTAGCTGTTCCTTTAATCTTAAATTTTAAGCTTTGTTCATAGAACAAAAAGACTGGATTCTTCTATTCTTTGTTTCCAAAAATGTGTGTATGTAGTTGTTGAATTAGTCTAAATAATTATATTGAGGCGGTGACAAAAGCGCTATTTTGTTAATATTTTGGCTGAAGTCAAAATGGGAGAATTTTACTCCCATCTCATGTAACTATCAAAGATGCTTTATGCCGTAGCATACAAATAAATAAATTATAAACAAAAATAATTGTGACTTATAATTAATATCTGCGAACGAAAATGATAAAAAAATTTAAATACTTTATTACATATTTACAAACGACATTTTAAAATTAAAATGAATAACAATATTCGAATTTATTATAATTAATAAAAATAATCACACAGTTCAATTGCAATTACTGAAATACAAAGTCAATCTAAACATTTTTTTAAATCACAAATAAGTTATTTTGCTGTTTAGTTAAAAAACATACTTCTTAAATACCTACATAATGACCGCCCAAGACTTCCGCAAGACTAAAGAGGAGGAGGGATCTTTGGTTTGTCTTTTTTATACTAAATGGGGGGAAGGGAATCTGTCACAAGTTGAGACATGTTTCTTTGTTATTTTTAAGAGTGTTAGAACTTAGAACCCTTTAGCTGCCAAAGAGGATCAATAATGGTAATAAATTTGTCTATGTAATGCTTGAACGACCCTTAACCCCAGTGACCTGGTTCGTCCAGGGTATGTTCTCTTCGTAAAAATATCTTTGCCTTTCATCTACACAACGATGATCAAAGTTATTGAAACAAATTTGAAAGCTATCTATCCTGCTCTGACAATTTTCGGAGCTCCTCTCGCAACATGGCCGCCTCGCTTCGCATCTCTTGAAGACTCCGTGCCGGCTTCGCTGGGTGTTTTGACGTAAATCTGCAAAGTCAATTGTCACATCTATATGTATGTCAACTGTCACTTGTGAAAATTACGTATAGACGTAATTTTGACATTTTCTGCAATAACTCGCCCTTATTTTTGGGAAAACACAAAATATTAAAGAAAAAATACTCACTGATCGTGTTTCGCAAGCTCCAAGTAGATAAGATCATTGTCAATGAAATCTCCTTTTTTCCTTGGTAATATATGGCAGTGAAGATGCTGAAAATAAATCAAATATATTTCTGTATGTTTTCTTATACGATTTTAGTGAAAATTGGTGGATCGATCGATTTCCTATACTCTTTCGCGTCTAAACGGACCTATTAGATAAAGTTTTCGATGTAGCTAGCAGGAAATTTGATATAAGCCCAAAATTTAAATAATATAAGTCTCACGCTATCTGGTCCTTAATAATACATACTTTCACTGTCTGCCCAGCATCAGGTCCATCCTGAATGGTCACAGTGCAAGATTGGGTACTATGTACTTTCTCCATTAACTGTAAAAACAATACAAAATTTTGTAAGCCTTATTAAATTAGTTATATTGTACAATGTTTCTTATAAAACTATTTATTAAAATAACATTTCCTAATTTAAAATCACTTTGCGACACTGGATTATATATTAAACTAATTATTAAACCTCAAAGACAAGTAAAAACCAAAATTTCATGCTTAATTAATAAAAATCTTACAAAACAATTTACGTAAATGGACGGATTTTTATTTTTTTAGTTTTACATTTACATTAGGATGGGATGTAAGCAAAGTCAATAACAATAGAAAGTAGAAGTCTCACAATACAAGTTACTTTTAAATAATAATGACAGAAATACATAAAAAATAAGTCATTTTAAATATTGAGGTCGTTTGGCCAATATAAAATCGATGTTTCTCTATCCTTGTGTAATCTGTGACAACAACGACACTATCAAAGTTCTCTACGGTTTGAAATCGGCCATATTTGTAGTGGTCCTTTGCCAATTTAGAAAAAATACAATATAGAAGATTTATTTAATTTAGCTATTCATTAAACATAATACCTTTTGTACAAGTCGGATAGTCCGATAGAAGTCTTCAGCTTCTTCCTCGGTGAGGTCTCGATTTCTTTCAGCCATTCGTAACGGTGCGATTAGTACATGACCCGGCGTTACACACCTAAGAAAAAAGATGGACTTATTACTATTAAATAAAAGAACTTTAAATAACGATCTGATTACATACGATCATATTATGTAAAAGCGGCAAATCAAAAGATATTGAATTTTAAAACGTTTGCGTTAAGATTGAAATTACATTGCGGGATAGGGTCGATGAAGGATGTAGGTCACGGTATCTTAATTGTTTTTCGAGCAGCACAGAACGCTGTGGATCCTGGCAGTTATCATTTTCAAGAACCACATTTCTTGATAGTGGAAGAATGTTCAACATGCTAGTCATGTCTTGCACTAATGGTAACAAATCGTCGAGAAACGTATCTAAATTACGACGAAAAGTCCTAAATCTAGCTTAAAACCTATTTTCTCGTTTATATTTTAATTTCTATCGTAGATATTGAATAGAAATTTGGAATTACATTCAATTTATTTCCCTTGAGTAGGATTTTGAATTTTCACGTGTCGGTAAGACGATATTACGTTGAGCAAGAAAATTTAAGTGTTAAGAATTTCGACACTTATCGTCGTTTGTAACACGGCTCAAAACACCGTCGTGGTCTTAGTCTCACGTGTGTTGTCGACTTTCTAAATTCAAAGATGTAACTTATAAAAACTTACCTCAAATTAACAAATGCATACGTCAACTTAGATTTATAAAAGACACAGCTGTCCGGGACTCGGACGTGTCCAAACACATTCATCGGTTCTGCTTTAGCCGATTCAGGGCTCTGGCTATCGTTGGACGCCTGCCTGGGTGTGTGTTCCGGTAGAAGGCTTTTGCGGAGACTCAAAGCGTAGAGGGAATAGACGTCTGGCCTTGAAATAATTATTAATACGGTTATTACGTATCGTACAGGCTTTACGAAAACCTTTACCTTCCCAATTACCTAGTTTTAAACTAAAGTACATTTGTCATTTGGAAGGTCGGACCAATTTAAATAATTTTATCGATTTTAAACGTAAATTGAAATGTATTATTCCAAATATTTTTTTAATAGTACATAAGTAAACTTATATATAACGCGTTTTAAACCGTTAAAATTGTTTTACTTAAAATTGTACTACCCGCGTAAACTTGAGACCCAATTTTTTTAAATCTTTTTGATGAGCGGCTTTATCGTATTTAGTAGTAATTAACAAAAAATACTAAGTTGGATTTCTTTGTTCTCTTGCATTTTTGAAAATACTAATATGATATTGACAATGCTGTGTACATCAGTTACAATCTACAAAGGTATTTTATTTTTATTTATTTGAATTATGATGTTTTAGTAAAATGTATTATAAGTCAGTGATCAGCTGATGTAGTAGATAAATAAAACACATTAAGTCCTTCAACTTAAAAATAATAAAGCACCTTCTATGTTGAAACACAGGCATGTTTCTCCTAACTTCTTTAATTGAATCCCCAATTTCCACAACCTTATAGCACGGGGAGTCTTCCCCGCAGTCGGCTAGGACTTCGCCCCAGGGGCTTACACAGAGCGCGTGCCCGTATGAACGTCTCTTTGCATTGTGTTGCCCCGTTTGAGCTGCGGCGACCACAAAGCATTGATTTTCTATTGCTCTCGCTCTGAAATGTAATGTTATGATTCGCAAAAGTACATTTAATGTATAAACAACTGGAAGTTGAGAATTATGTAAAACATGGGGTTGGCTATATTTTATATAGGCTTTGGATATTAATAAAACCGAATCGTGATTAAACTCGATCGAAGTCGCGAATATCGATATTCCTACCACCCATTTAATGTCCAGACGGAGTCCGAATTTTTTCAGAAAAATTACAAATTGATAAAAAAAATGTTGGACTTGGAGGGGAACAAACCCACGACCTATTGCTGCCATCAGAACAAACGCTCGTCAAAACCTATTTTGACTTTGAAATCCTTCGATACGGCAGCTCAATTGGTTAGAGCAACGGCGCGTAACGCTGTAGATGCCGGCTTTGGTCCTGCCCGTGACGTATTTTTTTTCAATTAACAGTCGATTTTTGTTTACTATTCTGGCTCATTGATTGGAGATTGGATGTTAGAGAATTCGTACTTTTTTATGACATTGCAGACAAGCATGCTTAACAGGTCTGTCAATAAAAAGTTTCCCTTCGTATGTAAACTAATTAATGCTAGTTAGCAATACAACTATATAGTACCTCAGCAAAATATGCCAATGTGCCGCCCCAGTTGCGTGAGTGAAGGCCGACGGGAAGGTCAGAATCTCAGAATTCAGAATACTAAGAGACGTGCTCAGCTCGGGAAACCGCATGTCGTAGCATATTGATAAACCTGCAATTACAATAATTGTACATACAACATTTCGCGTAAATCCTCAGGACAGTGCTCTCCAAACTTTTCGGCTGGGCAGAAGTTAGCGCGAACACCATCTTGCGCATGGTACTGTCAATTTTAAACAAAACGTGGAATCGCCCTGCATCCGCGCACCCCTTTGTCGTTTTTTGCGTTCTGCGCTACCATCCGCGTAAACTTCAGCCCGGCCAAAAAGGTTTAAGAGCACTGTAATTGTAATTCTAAATGACATTTGCATGACAAAGACAAGGCAGTAAATGGATAGAACTATGACTAGAAGATAACTAGGGAGGTAAGAACTACTATGGATATAGTGGGAATTCAGGTTTTTAAAATTAGTAATAAGCTTTTATTTTAAAACCTTTATTATTTTTTACATGTTGCACATGAAGGCACTATACAAATTTAAAAATCGAAAATAAATTGAAAAAATGTTCGACTCGGGCAGGACTTGAACCGGCAACGTCAGCGTTCCGTGCTATTGCTCTACCAATTGAGCTACCGAGTCCTACACCTCATCGTCGAATTTTTTCAACATATTGATACATGCACCTCTCGCGCAATGTAATTTCAACCTTAACACTTACGTATTAAGGTTCATGTTTTTCCTTATAAAGCGTTGCCCGTCAGGGTCAACAACCGTTTAGCCATATTAAATTAAAAAAATATATATAACAATAATAGTTTTTCAAGTACTTGCACATTGGTATAATTGCATTTTAAAACATAGTTTTTATTTTTTATGTACATATACAACACAACACACACTAAACTACAAGACTAAACTGACAAAAATAAGTCTCGTTTTTTTATGAATGCTATAAAATCAACGTTATTCTTACCTATTTTCCCAACAGGACTGTCCACAGGTGAAACAATATGACTGCCAGGATTACAAAAATCACTCTCCTTCAACCGTATATTCTTCTCAGGTATTTCAACGTCAAACAAATGGAGTTTCCTGTATGTCTGTACTATTTCCCCTTTATTGCTTATAATGATGTGGGTATTGAACATTTTTGTTGGATCTGATTCATCCTAAAATTAGCTGTGATATAAAAAATTTAGGTAGCTCTTGATTCTATGGTAAAACAAGAGGTTTAATTACTACAGCGTTACAACTGACACCATGGACAAAAATACTGGAGACCACATGAAAGAGGTATTATTCCAGTGGACATAAAACTGTAGGAAACAGAAAGTCAGCTGCTATTATTTTGGGTTCCTGGGTATCAGCCCACCATAACCCCACCCCCATCTTCTTTTATATATTAAAGGACAGTGATAAAATTATAAGCAGAATATAGCTTCTTCTTCTGGTTGTTATAGCGCTTATAAAACTTATGTGTTTCATTGTGTCAATCCATAATTAGAATGGTGTCCTATGTTATATAATAAAAAATCAAACTTCACAGATGGAGATTCTCAGTTGCAGCAACGAAAGAGAATTTTAAATTCACTAATATATTACCTTTTCATGCACACCACCCATAGACAACCACACATTATATTTTGAAGCTAGGTCCTTGTAGTTCTTTACAATATTGCCAGTCAATAATGGTTCTGCTGAACTTAATGTTTCCTTTTTATTATCACAGATGAAATCACAGGCTTCGGGAAAGAATATAATCTGAAAAAGTATATAAATTTTTTTTATTCAGTTTTAAATAAAGCATGCTTAGAATAAGCTATAGCACTCAAGGGAGAGAAAATATTCTATTATGATTAAATGGCTAAACAGAGTTCTATGTAATATACATGTGCATAAGAATAAAAATTTAAATAAAACACTTTTAACAGTTTAAAATGGTAAATATATTAGTAAGTTATTTTTAACTGCAACCCAATGTTTCAGAGGCTTACCTGCAGAGTTCCTTAGTTAGTAATAACTAAATTGAAAATCTATTTACCTTAAAATATATTACTGGGACTTGAATATCCACAGTGTTTTTACACAGTAGCTCAATTAGTTTACACACATTTTTATTAATATAATTGAGTCATGGGCAATGTGAGAAAATATGAAAAATTTCAATAAATTAAGTAACTAAAATATTTTGTATTACTAATATTTGAATGTGTACTACTCATAAACTAAAGGTAACGCTTAAGCATAGATATATCAAAAATGTGTATGTATACCTGTACATTGTCCTTTACAGCGTCACTGATAATTTGCGAGATCACTTCAAGATTCTGGCTTTTATCAGCTACAGACGTCATTTGACATACAGCGATTCGTTTTGCACACATTGTAGTGTAGTTCTTGTGTTCTATACTTAATATCTTTCTAATTAAAGAAGTATAACGCAACTGGAATTAAAAATACAATCACTAACAACAATATAATTAATAAAATATTGCCACAAACATATCAAATTGAAATTTATACGTTATTTAAATTAAAAGTTAATCAAAATGATTCGTAGTATATACCTTGCGTTATTAATAAAACTTCTGATAAAGATAAATAAATTAACATCAATTTTATAACCTCACAATTAGACTTTTAAATATAAAAATACTTGCCCTCATATTCTAATCTTAGTTATGATTTTGCAGTAAAACGATTAATACACAAAATAAAAATAATAATCTTTCATCACAAAAGAAATAACGTACCGGAAATAAGAATAATAAAATAGAGATATATTATCACTGAACGTCAATGTCAAGTTACAAGTTTGAAAATGTTTTCTTACTTCTTAGTAGTTGGTGTAATGAGGAATGACAAGGTGATAGTAATTTTATTATAATTAATTACTATCGTTTTTCTTACCAATGGTATCACGAACAATTAATATTTATTAGAATGTATAAAATTTCATAAGAAATGCTCTCACTTGTATTTGGCTGGAGCTAACTAAAAATAGGTAAAAAAACTTTTTAAGTTTTTTTTTACTTTTTTTTGTAATAACTTTTTTTTAACTTTTATCTCAAACATAGATTGCAATGTTTAAGATAAATGCACTAAAAACCAAAAAGTAATAAAATAGATACAGTCTTGGGAATATATTATTACCTGTATCACCAGTCACTTAATATTGTATCTTCTTCTTTTTGCTTTACCATTCTGAATGGATTTCGCCATTGTCTGTGTATGTTTTTTATTCAATGGTTTTATTTAGCTCACCCCGTAAGTTTTTGTGGGAATTATAAACAAATCTATTCAGAATGGGAAAGTAAAAAGAAGAAGATACAATATTAAGTGACTGATGATACAGGTGATAATACAAAATATAGAATATTTTTTATAATTTAATATTATTAGAATGAATAAAATGCGCAATAATTTTTATAACCAATTCAGCAGAAGAGAGTTGTAACATACATTTCATATTAGTATTTAGTAGGGCCTCAAAATATGTCATTAATTATATTGTATAATGTCATTAAAATTCTCAATTTGACATTGACAACTCTAGAAAAGTCCGGATACTCAATAAAAGAGTGATTAGACTTTAAAAATATTGACAACAATATTAAGATCAAAAACTCTAAAATCAGTTCGACAGCGGCCTATTTTTAGTGAGTTGAACAATTGTAGGTAAAAATTAGCTGTTCGTAAAAGAATGTCGACAGGTGACTGCAAGGAAACTTCTGGACCTGAGGTTAGTTTCGTATTTTTACTTTTTAACTGTTTGGCCCATTCATTGTTTTAACAAGAAAATTCTGTAGAACTACTAAACATTATTCTTTAATTATTTAATATACTAACTAAGAGATTTTTAATTTAAAATTGAATAGTCACAGTACAAGGTGATAGTTCTATTTGCGGTATATTGAAAGATAATTTGGTTTTTCTGTTTCAGATAAAAAAACCTAAAATTAAACATGACTGGTATCAAACAGAGTCCCAGGTAGTCATCACAATACTTATAAAAAATGCACCAAGTGATAAAGTTATAGTGAACTATGGGGACCGCAGTGTAAGTTATTAATTTATTGCAATTTTATTGTAGTTATTTGTTGCATTTCAATAACTATGGTAGCTTAAACAAGTTCTTGCCTTAGTTTTTTTTAGTTTCTTCACAATTTAGTTTGTTTTATTGTGTAAATCAATAAAAAAAATTCTTTAAATAATATGAAAAAAAAAAATATTTTTACACTTTCAGTTGTCAGTATCCATTGCATTACCAAATAATGAGTCTGAATACAGCTTAGAACTAGAACTAGCCCATGAGATAGTACCGTCAATGAGTTCATATATAGTCACTCCGTCAAAAGTTGAGGTGAAACTAAGGAAGAAGGAGGGGATTAGATGGACATTATTAGAGGGAGAGGGAAAGGATGAGAAAGTCAAAGCTATTCCTCAAGGTATAAATTATTATTTAAATTCTTTTGCTTTGCTCCCAAAAATTACTATCTCCGGGTATTAAAATGCTAAAAATGCACGGGAGGATTTTGCATATATTTCAGCCAACTCAACTCAGGGCACAACTTATGTGCCTATTTATTTTATTTAGTACTTTAAACTTCCAAAAGCAAAGGTTCTTGTTGCCATTGGCTGCTGTTACTGTGTTTGTTTAATGTTAATGTTTGACAGTTAGGTAGGTGAAATTCTGTTTTCTATATTGGTTGTACACCACACATTTCTGTGTCCGTTTTTACTGATCAGAATTTCTATGCTTTTCCTGACTGAAACATTTTAACATTTCCCAGGATTAGAACCCAAAACATTCTAGGCTCGTGTCTAATATAATTGTTAGCAACCAATTGAGGTATTTGGGTTCATTCAATGGGTTTTAGGTATTAGGATCATCACCAACTATACCATTCGAGACCCGTGGCTAATTCATCGAATGGGCCCTCCCACTTCCCCAATATATAAAGAAGCTGAACCAACAAATGAGATTTCCTCTGACCAGGGGCCCCTTCGGGCTGGGGGCCCGTGCCATTTTGCCAACTTGCCACCCTATAGTTTCGCCACTGAGGATCATGTTCAATAGTAAATTTTGAAATTTCAGCTATAATTGATGCATCTGGACCGCAGCAACCACCAAAACTATTTAAAAAAGACTGGGACAAAATAGAAAAAGATATCAAAAAGATGGTAAATACTTCCTCCATTATTAGCATAGAACTAGACAAAACAAAAATTATATATGATTAAAGTACATATAATTTTTTTTAACTCTTTTGTATTTATGTAACCATTGACAGTTGGAGTGACAGTTCGTTGTATCTTTATATTTAATTTGTTGAAGATTTTGCCAATTGTTCTGCGGGCTACCCGCATTGTTATTTCGTATATCATTAGTAACTGGAGAAGGAAAAAGCTCTTTTACGCTATAAGCGAATTGGAGCGTTGAATCTACAAAAAGTGACTAAGGAAAGTGGATAATAACGCTCTTAAAAACACTTAAAATTCAACCAAAAATATATTTAACGCCATCTAGTTGTTCCTTTGTGAACTTTTTTCACTGGTTACATTTTGGACCTTCATATGCTTCATTAGGAGTTTAAAGGTCTCAGCACACATATGGGATCGGAAAGGGATCGTAACCGTAACGCCTCGAGCCGTTCAGAATGGTTTGTATTAAACTCCCTACTGCAACGCACACTAATCGGAATCGTAACGTAATCGCCTTTCCTCGGAACAGGCTCCGAACTTGCAATTCCCGCGCTTACGGCTCATCGTCCCCGCGCTTACGTCTCTCCGTCCCCGCGCTTGCGTCCTCCTTGCATTATTCGTATTGTGTACCCAATATCTTTCGGGCGACGAGGCGTAAGCGCGGTGTCGCCTAGCCGTAGTCGAGTTGACGTACAGGCGCTGCTGATACGCTTTCGTTACGTGCGTACGGTAGGTTGACGCCTGGTTGACAGCGAGGCGAAAGGCGTTACGGTTACGATCCCTTTCCGATCCCATATGTGTGCTGAGACCCTTAGTGTGTTATTTTATCTATATATCATGTTTTTTTTTTATTTCCACGTGCAAACGTAGTCGAAATCGCCATAAGCGATATGTCCGCCTTTGCACAAACATTTTTATTTGGTTTCATTAACTTTTAAAGTGTCTATGTTCTTGTTTGTGCAATAAAAAGTTTTATTATTATTATTATGTAACAACACCTGCTAAATTTGTTATGATCTGATTAAGATAGTTAATTTTATTTTCTCTTTCAGGAAGAAGAAGAGAAACCTGAAGGTGACGCTGCGCTGAACGCTCTCTTTCAAAAAATCTACGGAGAAGGATCGGACGAAGTTCGCAGAGCAATGAACAAGAGCTTTGTAAGTGCTTCTTGAATTTTTGCAAAAAATATTTGAAAGAACACCATTCCGTTATTAACATGGTGTCTCTTGATCTACCATGAAAATGATAGTCAATTGATCGGACCACATAATCTGATGGACTGCTGATCTATTCCACTCTTTAGAGGTCCTCTAAAAGTTAAGTTATCTAATATTCTAGACCACTAACAGACCTATACTAGGACATAACTGAAGACTTTGTTTATTTGTTTAACACACTAATCTCAAAAACTACTGGTGGGAATTGAAAAATTATTTTTGTGTTGATTAGAGCATATATCGAGGAAGGTTATATGCTATATAACATTAAGTTATGAACAATAGGAGCAAATACATTGGAAAGCGTCGAGAAAATAGGAAAATCTATGTGGGTTTCCGATAGATAGGCTGCGAAAAGGGTTCAAGATACCCATAAAATATGTATGAAATAATGATTTTTTTTTAAATGATCTAAAATAAATGTCGCCGACACTATATGCCTCTCTTTTATGAACTTACAAGAATGACGGGACGCGATCGACGTAATAACAGCTTAAATTTATAGAGTTTTAACCTCTACGCGGCCGAAGTCGCTAACACAGCTAGTACCGTAATGTATCCATCCCCATGTAAATGTCTTTCTTTTGTATTAGGTGGAGTCAGGTGGCACAGTGCTAAGCACAAACTGGAATCAAGTGGCCAAAGAAAAAGTGGATGTCAAACCGCCAGATGGCCTGGAGTTCAAAAAGTGGGAGAGCTAAAATTAATGGTTTCTTTTGTTCTGTACCAATAGTGGGTAACTTAAATATGCAGTCACAATTTTTACACAAGTCACAAGTTAATACTCAAGTGTACATGGTTTATAACTTGTTATTTAAAGTTACCCAAATGAAAAAAAAATGCCAACCAATTCGAGAAAAAAGATTATATGATTCTTCTATTCTTTGAATATTGCTTTAAATGTATGTTTTAAATAATACACTAACGGTTTAAAACGCGATATATTTTAGTTAAACTTGTTTGAAAATTATTATTATTTTTAGACAAGTTTTTAGTTCAACTTGTTTAAAAAATATATAGCGCGTTTTAAACCGTTAGTGGTTTATTTAAATTACTTTGTTAAACAGAGCAACAATTTTGGACTAATTTCGCTCATATTTGCACATACATAATATGTTAACTATGCTTTATTATAATAATAAAACCGGAAAATGTGTGCTTATTTCAATAAAACTGAATATGAATATATCCATTTAATAAAATCACAATAAATTACACATCCACTTCATAACATCGATTAATAAGTTACTCTTAAACAATAATACTGTATAATAAATATAGAAATCTGCTGTAAATAACTTTTACGTTGCCAATATAGGAAATATACATAGGGGCCACCGCACACACGACACTTTTTTTCTAAACATAAAAAAGTAAAGTTAAATATTAAAAATAAAATGTTTGCGGCGACCCTTAGTTTAACAAAACGTCATAAAACATTTTCTAATAAGAGAGAGCTCAATAATTTCTTTGTCAAGAGTGACTTGAAAACTCTAACTATACTACCAGTACAAGGACCTTAGATTAACCTATTGAGTCACTTTTTTATATTCGTAATAAAAGTAGAATTTTATAAATTAATCTAATCCTGGGGACAAATTGATTCTTGATGTATTATAAAGCATACGTGTATGTTTGTCTGTCCTTCATGATTAAGTGAAATCAAGCGACGACAAAGATGTACCAATCGAAGCCGAGTAATATTAAACATTTTTAATAAAACACTTTGCAGTAACCGTTACGTCACGGGGAGACTCCTTGCTGCTTCAAAGCATCCAAAACGTCGGGCCGAAGTTAAAAATAATTTTCAAATAAGTTTAACTATCATCGCGTTTTAAGCCGCTGGTGTTTTATTTAAATGTGTACTACTCGCGTAAACTACAGACAATATTTTTTTAATTTTAAACTCTATTATGTACTGGTATTATAGTAGAACACCATTAACAAACTAATTTTGTACTCAACACAACACCAAACATTACAACTATAGGCCTTATTTAACAGTCACAAATAAGATCTTAGCAAATTCTTACTATTAAAAATTACATCTTTAATATTACACTTAAAAGACCTTTTCTTTTGGTATTTCTTTACATAGTTTTTAAATGTGGTTCTGGGTGACGTAGTAAGCTATTTTATCTGGTTTGACAAAGGCGTAAGTCGGAACAAGCGAGAATAATTCCTCACAACGCCTTTATCAAGAAAGAAGACGCAACCCGGTTTGTGTTATATCAGCAATAGTAACGCTTGTGCGGTGACACTAATAATTTTGAGAAAAATGTATTTACTTAATGTAATCTACGAGTTTTATTTCCTAATTTTAGATCATTTTAGCCCATTTTTCATACTGAGATCTTTAACTTAAAATGCTATGTAAAAATAATAAATGCTTAGTAAAATATTTAATTTTAGGGACGTTTTTTATTCTACAACCACGTGTAATACGTTGCTTAGAAGAATTAAAATAAAATGTACGTTGATTCATAGTGAGTCAGTATTTTTAAAACACCATTTAATTTCACAACGAAACATACAGTAACATAAAAATCATGTTCATTAACCCAAATCGTAAGTGATTTTAGATTTCTTGACAAATTTTGCCACTATTTTTATATGAATAACAATAAAGTTACAAGATTTTGTTATTAGTATGTTTTCTGACACGACTCGTTATGATCTTTACTAATATAAAAAAACTGAAGAGTGTTTATTTAACTGCGCTAATCTCAAAAACGGCTAGTTCGAGTTAAAAATATCTTTGTGTTGGTTAGACGAGTTGTCGAGGAAGGTTTTAGGCTACATAAAATACACGCGACCAATGAGAGCGAGAAAATCTGATAAATAGAAGAAACATGTATAAAAGAATAATTCCTCTTTAAATAATGTAAAAGATGTCCGCAACCATAGATACCATAGGCATATGTCTATCGTTTAAGATTCACTCGCAAGAACCATTTTTATAGTAACCAAATGGGTCGAAATTAATGCATTACTACCAATTATTTGTTATATTAATCTTGCAAGTAAAATAACGTGTGGATCAGCTAGTCGGTTTATGCTTTGACTATCGACTTTTACCTACTCTTAAGGAAGGACATATTGAGATCTAAATCTTAATGTGTTTTAAAGTTCTTACGCCATAAAACATACACATTTTGTCTTGTATACCAGACATATAAGTAGGGAATAGGTATTATGTAGTTTGATATAAGTAATTTCTATTTAGTTTAACATTTAAAAAACTTCAAACATTTTCTTGATATAGGTTTTTAGGAATATCCAAAGTTTAAATAAAACACTTTAACGGTTTAAAACGCGGTATATATTACACTTATTTGAAAACCATTTTAACTACGGCCCGACGGCCATGTCGGCTGTATGTATCGCGTTTTAAACCGTTAGTGTTTTATTTAAATGTGTACTACTTGCGTAAACTACAGACAGTGTTTAATATCCAAAGTCAAAATAGGTCGACACCGCTAGACCGCGCAGTTTAGATGTTATATGGCTGGGCAAGTGAATCTTACGCCTGTCGGTCCACTTCTATCATAAAAAAATTACTTATCAAAACTTGCAGCCAGACTTATCCCAAAACGAAAAGGCAAAAAATACGAGAGCCTATTAAATATTATCTTGTACGGTCTATTTCGATTCTTCTGTGTCGTCCATACTGTTTGTGCTTTGCGCTGAAAAACGAAACTACCGTCAAATTTATATGCACATAATTTTATTCTTAAATTAAAGAATATTAAAAATCGTTTATAAATTGGAAAAAAAAATTACGACACGGGCAGGACTTGAACCGGCATCCATAGCGTTCCGTGTTGCTCTAACCAATTAAGCTAGCGATTCCTACGCACAATCGAATTTTTTCACCCTATTGATACATGCACCTCCCGCGCAACATAATTTCAACCTTAACAATTGTGTATTAAGGTTTACTTGTTATAGAACACTTAAAATGATACCTTTGATACCTGCTATGGCTCTTGTCCCGGGCAGTATATTGTTGAAGGTCGATGTCCACCTGGAGAAAAAGTACTTTAGTGCAAAGTAATGTTAATAAAAATATTTACAAAAACTCAAACTGTACACACAATTAATTAATTTTAAATTTAACGTATAAAATTGTGATTGCGACGATGTAAAATTATGGTCAATCTATTTAGTACTAAATAGATTGACCCTAGTTACCTGCAACATATCTCTCAGCGTCGATGTGATCAGGGTCTGGTGGTGGTGTTCGCGGGGGTGGCTCGTCACCAGGTAGACAAGTCTCCACCATCGCCTCTAGGCAATTCACGAATAGCTCGCTACTCTCCGCTGTGCATTGATTCTGTGGATAAATGACTATTTTTAAATCTACTCTCGAAATTCAAGTATATTTCGTTTCTATTCATGTTCTGGCTTGGCTCAAGTCTCCCTTATAAGAGGGTTTTAGAGCTTTGACCCACCACGTTACTCAAGTGTTGATTGGTGGGCTTCAACGACATTCACCACTAAATTAATAACTGGGACCGAAGTCTTAATATGCTCTTCAAGTCTATCATGACTAAACTCTGGTTTGATACTAGATTTATTGTCTTTATTTCTTCCACACAAACATTGAAATTGTAAATATCGTACGGACGTTTTAATTGGCTGAGGACTCAAACCTAGAACTTTATAATCAAAAGTCAAATTCACTAATACGTTTCGTTACTTATATCTTTCTAATTCTAATATAATTCTAATTCTGAAATATCGTCTAGGTCTAATAGCTAAACGAGAGGAAAGCTTCTGGATTAGAATCGATTAACCTTAAAACGAAAACTCAAAAAAAAGTCAAAAATAATTTGTTCTCGTAGGTAACTAGTCACTCTTATGAACATTATGTGAAACTAAATTAAAACTGAAAATTCCAGACTTTACATTTACTAGCAGCTCTCAAATCAAGGGCGTAGAACGACCGCGAAGAACTGACAAGAAACTAACCGCTACTACTATTATCGCCAAGTTTCATTTAGCCTCCAAACCCTCAGCGTTTCTATTGTTTAAATATTGATTTACGTCACAATAACCCTTTCCAAGCAGTTTTTCTTTAAGATTTGGTTTTTTTACTATACAAAAGGATATCAACAGCTTGATGTTATGAAATACCCCAGCCGTATAACATCGAATCTAAATGCGTGATCGACCTATTTTGTCTTTGGATAACCGGAACTCTACAGACTGAAACGAAACGCAAATAACCCGGTGCCCAGAAGGGAATCCCGACTTTAGAATTATGTGGGGTTCGAACCCACATTTCGTTAACTATTAGCCGTACGTTGCTACGATTAGACCAACGCGCCTGTCAATTTAAACTTATTTTTTGACACAGCTTTCACATACCTTGCCTTCAAAAAATTACAAACAGAATATTATATAGTTAGTGCAAGTTACCTTGGTGAACGGCCCCGCGAATCGCCACAGACCGCCGAAGCCACAACTCTGCATATAGTGCAGCTGCTGCTGGCTGGCGTCCTCCGAGGCTATCATGTTCTACGAATGTAAAGATACGTACCTGATACATTGATATCTTATAGAGAAAAATACGGCTTACACCATCTCGAATAATTATTATGTGGAGTTTTAATTAGTATTAGCTTGACATAATCCAGCAAATGGATTGGTATACCTTCGTGTAGTGGAAATCCGAAAGTATACTCACGTTCAAAAATTATTTTGTTTTATTTACGGGATACAGACAATAAGTCGAAAAGTTCACCGTGAAATCGCTGCTGAAGCTTTTAAACATCAGTAAGAATAAGTCTACTAATAGATTTCGCGTTTTTAACCGTTAATTTTTTTATTGAAACTAATCTGTAGTGTCGTGGATTTGAATCCCACGTGTCAATTCAAAAATATTTTTATTTTTGTTTACTAACCTGAATAATACATTGTACTGCGCTTAAAATGACTTGATCGCTGCAGTGCATTAAAACATGATTGATTTTCATATCCAATAGGCTATGTCTGAAACATAAGACATTTCATTTGATATATAGAATAGTGCACATCAATTGTATGAAAGCGCCATCTTCATTTCAAAATTAATACTTATTAAAACAGTAAGGTACGTCATATACGAGGGCGCTGAAAGCAATAATTAATAATTTAGTTTCAAACAGAACTTACATGACTGGAAAAACTTTGGGGAACACGATAGAGCCTTCAGCCAAGTATTGATATAATATTCTTATTTCGTCTTCATCTGAAATTGTAAAGCAAAAGGTTTACATTTCATTGAATATATTACACTTAAATTGTATTGTGTGTAGACACAATAACGAACAAGTTACTACAACTCGAGTAGAGAATTCACTATGAGAGAACGAAAGAAACGTGTACAAGTTGTATAAATTCGCAAATAAAACATTCCAAACGGTTTAAAACGCAAAAGATAATAATTAGCTTCATTTAAGTACGACCAGATATTTCACATGCTTTGCAGCAGCCATGGTAAGCATGGTTTAGGCTCAGGTCACAGAATACGTTAACGATATTAGCATAACATATTTAACGAATCTTTCGCGTTTCAAGCAGGTGATAAATTGAGATGTTAATTTTAAGATAATTAATAAGATATATACTACAATGTACCTATGGTCATACTAAATGACTTAACTAATAGCGGAAACAATTGACTATCCTTAATATTGATGCGGTAGTTGTTCAAGATTAATAAAATAAGCCATTACATTCTTACACTGACCCTCTCCATGATTAACAAACGCATTAGCATCAACCAGGTCGGGGTTCATCCGGGACAAGACACAGCTGATCATCCACTTAATAAATTATCAGTAAATAAGCCTCTAGAATACTTCTAGAAGGGCTCAAAAGATTTTCCCCTTTTTTTACACACCCTACGTTAGACCTGGCACGTCCAGACCAGAGTGGACCAGAACCAATTAACCCGCCACTGGCACTACGGTGTTTTTAGGATGGCCACGACGTTTGCACGACTCCATAGATCTAAGGATTTACCTGAAGTGTATTTGACTAAAGTAGCAAGTACTGTCAAGACTAGCGCCTGCGTAGTGAAGTCCGACAACACGGAGGGATCAAGCAAACTGTTGTATTCCGTCGCGTTCTTCTCCGTTGAAGACTGTTGGGAGATCAGATAAATTAGAACTCAAAAACAATTTATCGGTTTAAAATGCGATTTTGATAAAAAATATTTTTAACTAAAGCCAAACGTAGGCCCAGACGCCACGTTAAGATGGTAAAAGCATTTTACCATCTTAACTTAAAAAAGTGGCTGACACAAGATGGACAAGAGTAGCAAGGGGACAGGCAAGCTTGGAAACTTTTAGAGGCCTTTGTAAAGGGACAAGCTGTTTGCAATAAAACAAGCATACATATTAGGTTTAAAGAATTTATTTTCTCAAAGAATATACATATTCACTTAATGAGAAAACATTAATACTTAAACTTAAATGTGTTTACATGCATCGGACTTTAATTAAACGAAACAGTGATATATAATAAAAACAAGCTTATTATTAACTTATACTTATTCTAAAATATGGAACTTTAATGATTTCTTGAAGATGTTTATAGACTGAGCGTTTTTTAAACTTTCAGGTAACTTATTGTACAGATCAGCACCCGTAAATCTTAAACTATTTTTACCGTAATTAGTTCGGGGTTGGGGTAGTGACAAGTTGTGTTTATTTCTGGTTTGGTATCTGTGATTTTTCTTCGTAAAAGTTGTTTGACTGTGTGTGCTATGTGTGATAATTTTATGAATGTAAATGCATGTATGATAGGTAAATAATTGAGAAATGTTAAATAATTTTGTATTTTCATAAACCTTTTTAGTAGAAGTTAGTGCTTTATAATTAAACAAAGATTTTATAATTTTTGATTGACATGTTACTAAAGGTTTTAAGTTAGTCTTTGCTGCACATCCCCACACTGGAATAAGATAGTCTAAATGCGGTTTGACTAGAGCATTATATATAATATATTTAGCCTTATGGGGAATACATTTGGATATTTTTTTCACTAAACCAATCAGCGGGTATATCTTTGATCGTATATGGTCAATGTGAGCTTTCCACGTAAGTCTATTATCTAAAATAAGTCCAAGGTATCTCTCCTGATTAGATCTCTTAATAGTTACTTTGTCAATCTTAGGTGGTCCTAAGATGGATCCTTGTGGAATTCCACACATGATTTTAGTCAGGCTACTTTCGTGTTTGTTAATTTTTACTAGTTGCTGCCTGTTACTTAAATATGATTCAAATATCTTATGAGCCGTGCCTCCTAATATATGACTTAACTTTTCTAAAAGGACCGAATGGCTGATTGTATCGAAAGCCTTTTTCAAATCTATAAATATACCGAGAGCTATCTGCTTATTGTCAATGCTTTCACTTATTTTCGTTACAAGATCAATTGTTGCATTAAGTGTACTAGATCTTGGGCGAAATCCATATTGACCGTCGTATAAGAACTGTCTATCATTTAAATAGCCAAGTAGTCGGGTGTGGAGTATCCGTTCATAAATTTTAGATATTACAGGCAACACTGAAATCGGTCGGTAGTTACTAGGGTCACTTCTATCACCATTTTTATAGATTGGGGAGACCTTAGCTATTTTGAGTTTATCAGGAAAAATACCCTGCGCTAAACTATCATTTATACAGAGTGTTAAAGTAGGTACTATAATGTTCTTACAACATTTAATCGTTTTTGTAGTAATGCCATCATATGCGGAGCTACTATTGCTATCAAGATCATCAATTATATTAGATATTTCTGATTGAGAACATGGTTGAAAATATTCTAGTTTGTTAGATGTTGCATTAGACAAAGTGTAGTCAAAAGTAGAATGTTGAGAGTTACCCCTAATACGACTTGCCAACAATGATCCTATTGATGAAAAATAACTATTAAACGCTTCACAGATACCAATGCCATCGGTTATATTATTATTATTGATAGAAAGTTTTACGGGACCGAATTCTGTTCTAATTTTATTATGTACCAAATCATTGATTAATTGCCACATCTTTTTTGGTTTGTGTCTACGAGCATTAAATTCATTAAAAAAATATCTCTTTTTTTCTCGCTTTATCAAAGTTTGCAGGTTGTCTTTAACTTCATTATATTTATCTTCTACTTCTTCGTAATTCTGTTTCTTTTCACATAGTTCATTCCATAACTGATTACGTTTATTAATTCCATCCAGTATTTCTTTTTTTATCCAATCTTTCTGTGGGGGGTTCAATACTTTATATTTGGTTTCCGTATTTTTCTTAATTGCATCTATTAGTATATTCTCTAATTTATCATATGTATCTGCATCGTGTATTCTTGTTGAAATAAAGGGTAATTTTCTCTTAATTTTTCGTAGTTCACACTTTTGTATTCGATTTTTCCTGGTTTTCTATGCTTTTGTTTCTTAAGTTCTAAAATTATTTGTTTATGGTCACTTAACGATGAATTGACAAGGGCCATATGAAAATATATGTTAGGAATATTAGTATAAACATGATCTATAATGCTTCTAGTGTCTTTAGTAATACGTGTGCTGTGTTCTTTGTTTAGTTTGTTAATAAAATCGAATCCCGCTTCATTTACCATCCTTGAGTAGTCGATGTTTTCTCGGTCGTTAGATAAAATATTAAAATTAAAGTCGCCAAATACCAGCGAACGCTTCTGTGTTTCTAAGTATTGAGATGAATATATTTCCATGAAGTTCTTTTTATTAGAGTCGGGCGGCTTATATACACCACCGATATTCAGTGCGTATTTCTCCAAATGTATCCATAAAAAGTTACTGCCATGCTCGTAATTGTTTAGTCGAACAGTATACTTTAGACTGGAGTGGACAAACATAGATATACCTCCTCCTTTTTTATCAGTTCGTAGGTTATAAACGTGCGAGTAATTTGCTATTTGTACGTGCTCAGCTTCAAAGTTAGATGATATCCACGTTTCCGTTAGTATTAATACATGAATAGTAGGTGATATACTTCGCAATATACATTTAATTTCATCAAGTTTGTTTCGAATACTTCTTATGTTGGCGTAAAAAATCTTAAGCGAACGTCTGGACGTAAAAGACAGAGAATCGTAGGCACTAATTAATTGGTAGGTATTTTTATCTATCGAAATGTTAGGCGTATTTAGTTTTTTGAATTATCATTTCGTATAATTCTAGGGATACTTTTAATGTACTTAATACGTAAGTTCTGTTCCCCATTATTCTGACGCTTTTTAAGTTCGTCGCGCAGTTCTTTTAAGTACTTAGACTGAATAGGAGTTTGGTCTGAAAAAAATCGTATTGCGTCGATATTGCATTTAGATTTATTTAGCAGTAGATATTTGACTATATCCCGCGACTCGAAACAAACCTTAAGCCGCCTACTTTTACCTTGTTCATATCTTCCCAGCCTAAAAACCGATTTCGGTAATGGGCAATCACTTTTTACTATTGTTAATAGTTTCATAACTTCCTTAGAATCATATTCACGGCGGGTAGAAGATTGTTTAGAGTCAGTTTCTAAAATACCCTCAATGATGATATTCCTTTCGCGCAGAGACCGGTCTTCAAGCTCCATTATGAGGTCCAAGTAGTTAAGATTAAGCGACTTTTGGGATAATGTATTATTTTGCGAATTTTGCTGTTGATGTATGGAATCCAGTTCTTTTTCAAGGCTGTTAATTTTTGTTGTTAAAGTTATATTTGTGCTTTTAAGATTTTCAAAATTTTCCTTTAGGCTTTTCACTTCCAAATTTAAGTTTTCATTTATTTGTTTAATGTGTGTAATTTCTCCCTTTATTTCATTTACGTTCTGTTTAATTTCGCTATAGTACTCATCTTGTGATTTCTTGAAGTCCCGGAAAAAATCCATCATTTCCTGTCGAAATATAGTAAGCTGTTCTGTCACCCGACTGTCCTCGTCCGGCTGTTTCCGTTTTCTATGTAAGCATTTACTGTCAGATGTGACCGCGGATAGATCACGTAAGTCTTGCAGTGAACCACTTGCACGTTCCGGTGGAGATCGCGTGACGCTCATCGCTTGTGATTTAGATCGCCTCCTCTATGGTATTGTTTGATGCTTGTACGCACTTTGTTCACGAGTGCGAGCGAGATGTAACACAACCGACCTGTGCTATTTTTATCACTCAATATATTTTAATATTGTAAACGTATGGACACGTCTAGCTTGTCCCAATGCACGCGCGCGAATCCTAAGCGAATATTAAGTTATCATATATTATATAGCTTATAGCGGATAAGTATTTTTTTTATTTATTCCTGCGGCCGAACGTACTGCCTGCAAACATCTGGCCATAGTAAAAATAAATTAAACATATAAGGAGTAATATATATCGGTTTAAATTGTTTTATTTAAACCGATGGCGTTAAAATTGGCGTTAAAATTGTTTTATTTAAATATTAATAATCTAATAAACACAAGACAATGCTTAAATGAATAATTGTATAGGCAAGTTCTAGAAGTAATCAATTAAAGTTAGATTTTATGTTTAATAATTTTTTGAGGATATTCACCTTATCTTCAGATGCTGGGTAGCTATCACCAGACTTGGTGGAGGCCGGGCGTTCCGAGTCATCTATGCTGCCTTGGGAGTCACGGCCGTCGTCGTCCACCTATGAACAGGCAGTGTAATTGATGTTTAAAAGGAAAAATGTCATTTCACTCATTGGCGTAAATCAACCATAAGCAAGTTTTCTCTGCAGTAAGAATTCGGTTAATATATTTAAAGTTCGAAACTTTTTGCATTTTTAACACATGTACAGTAATTCTTATAACGACTATATAGTGTAAATCAATAACTAATAATTAATAAATACATAAGAGATGGCAATCGGTACCAGTCTCAGCTGTGCTGCGGAATGCTTGTCACACTCAGCAGTGCTGGTTTTCTGACTGTGTACCTACTACTAGTGTAAACTTGAACACTTTTTTTTAAATTTTTATTTTTTTTGTTTAAATATATATGATAATTTAGAGTTACAATTTATAAGGTAGAAAACCTTTCTAGTCATCTCTTCGAACAAAAACATGAGCTTAGTATTACTATAGCATATAAAGTGCGTCTATAATATTACATTAAAGGTAGGCAAAAATCAGCCCTCTTAGCAAAACGATAAAGACTATAATCATACATAAACTTCAAGTCCTCTACTTACATCTGGTGTATCTTCTGTGCTTTCCCTTGCAGCATCACCAGTAGCGCCGTGCTGCACACTATGCGCACGACCTTCGCTGTCCTGTATATCAAACATTATCCATATAGAAGTATTACGAAAGCCTTATCAAACAGCCACTATACAGGGTGATCTAGAGGATTCTCATGTATTAAAAGTAGGTGTTATTGGTTCAAATGTTTTTTCTACTTTGCCACAACAATCGCTTCGTGTTGGTTGGTGTGAGTGTGGGATAAGTTATTTGCAGGAATACTATATACAGGGGGCAATCAAAGCTGTATACTTCACAATGAGTGGTACTTTACAGGGACAATACTAGGTTTCTTTAAGGTGAAACGGTTTACTGTTACCAAGCAGATATAAATGTAGATTTTTTTGTTTTCTAATATTTTCTATCTGGTCACATTAGGTGAAAGTTAACAAATTAAGTTTTTCAATATATACAGGATTATTGCTAATTTTGACAGAAGCTTTTTATTTTGAAGCGATAGCATCTTAGGAGGCCGTGAAGTAGGAGGGGGGAGGTTATATTCTATTCAGGATGTACGAATTTAGGCTTATGTACAAGTTTTAAGTAAACGAAACATAAGGCATCTAAAGGCAATTACTCTAGGTGGTTTGATGGTCTCCTTAGCGGTGGGCACAGAGAAGGATCTTTGCGTCTTAAAGCGCATTCTAGCTGAGGTCTACAATGACAAACCAAATATCCATTTATAACGGTGAACACGTTATGGGAAATAACAGGTCAAAATAACGTTACAACAGTTACGCAATGGATATTAGCGACGTAAGTGATTCCATACAAACGATACAGTTCGATCCAAGTTGCATGAAAAGACAATGCATAGAAGAATGATTAAGACAATATAATAGAAATTATATGTAGACTCTTATGACAAATGTCGTTAGCAGGGCGTTTGGGAAGTGGCGTTCGGGCTTTGCTGACACTATAATAACAGAGTAAAACCTTTATGATTTTATTTGTACGTGGCTGTCATTCAAAATATATCTATGACATAGAAGTAACGTACATTTGTCATAAATTATAGAAATAACGCATACATATCACTGCCTACGAAATGAAACGCTAAAACAGCATTTTAAAAAATAATAACACTTCCACGAAAATAAATTAATTTCACAGGTAATAGGCACAATAAAGAATTTTTGATTGACATCTATCATTTAAAATGTCTCACTATTATGCATTTTTTTCCAAAACAGACTTTTGTTTAAATATTTGTAACGTATTTACCATGCCTATTCCATAAACACGACCACAGATAATAGAGGAGATGGTTGTGATGGAGGCAAGATGTCTATGGTATGGAAATTACCTGATGTGATATGTTGGATGGATGTGGGCTCTGACCGCCATTACTAGACGATGGAACAGTCGGGGATTTACCTGTTAAAGAAGTGAAATTAAGAAAAAAGGAAGTTATTTGTGTTTATTCTGTATGTATAAGGAATAAATATTCATTTGATTTTTAAAGTTAAGGAAAAGTTTGTGGAGCGTTGAGCAAACGCCGTTTTATGTCTGTTTCTCCCAACGATTTTATTGACAGCCAGTTGATTGCATTCTGTGTCCTACATAAATGAAATAATTTGTTTTTAAGGAATTTGACCGCAGGCCTACTAATGCTCTAACACTGAGCTGTGGATACCGTCACAAAACAATTTTAAAAGCTTTTATGAAACAATAATACATAAAATTATGATTTAAATAAAACGCAAAATTTATAAGTTTCATTATTTGACAACATTAATATCTTTTACATGTACATGCACATGAAGGCACTATATAATTTAAAAACCGAAAATAAATTTATATATTGCGGGTATAAACTGTTAAGTCTTATATTAAAATAAAAACTTGCATAAACTACAGACAATATTATTAATAAGTAAGATTATATTTTAAATACTATGGGTAATCTATCTATTGTAATGTGGCAATACGTGGTGTATTTTTTGGTAGTTATACCCAGTAGAACTCACCACCATACGTCGATGTTTGCTCCAATATGTCCCAGGATTTCTGTCGACGGCTATGACATGATGTGGACGACACCCGCCCTTGTATTAACATGGAGGACTGAAAACAGAAAATAAAATTTATATGAAGGCAGCGATGCATGTAATCGTCCCCTTTCATATTTCAATAAGGCTTTTCTGAAACGAACAACTAGATAACAACACATCACCGTCAGTTTCAAAATTGACGAGCTAGAAATCTCCTCTACGTCTGTTTTTTTTTTTAATGCGAATTGTGTCTCTTTTGGCAGAACAGCTCTTGCCAACGTGGCGCCATCTAGTGGCGCCATCTAGTGAGGTACGTTTTTGTCAAAACCTTTCTTGCAACCTTATGGGTAGCAGTTTTTAAAAAACACTGTATTCCCGTAGCTTAATCAAGCCTTATGAAAAAGGGAAAGACATACGATGATTTTTAACTGAATTAAACATGATTTCAACCTGTAAATGATCAGCGGCTGGACAATAGTGGTCACAATTGTCAGCCAGTAACCATTTCGGCAGCGAGTGTTTGACGGGACAGCGTGATCTTACTTCCTCGCTCACACACACCAGAGCTGTAAAAAAAATATTTTGAAATTAATATTAAAGTTGGTGGACGGATGTATTTGGTACAATGGTAGCAATTTATGTAGTGAAATCCAATACGTTTCAAAACAATATTTTTAACTAGTTGTATTCGCCACTCCGTCCGCGTCGTTCTTGCGAGTTAATCTTAAAATATAGGCATATCGCGAATATGTTTTCCGATTATTTAAGGAAGAAGAATTCTTTTATCTATATTTTTCGAGTAGCTTGAACCGTTTTCACAACGCATGTAACGAAAACCTTCTTCGCTCTTATTGGTGGTAACCTGATGTTTTATAGCCCAAAATACTAACAGTCTAAACCCAAAATACTATCAGTCTAGACCCAAAATACTAACAGTCTGGTCCAACTAACACAAAAACAATTTTTCAATTCGAACCAGTTCCTGAGATTAGCGCGGTTAAACAAACAAATAAACCCTATCACTTTAAAGTGTAACGTAATCACTACGTTTCTTTTTTTTACCAGTTAAATAAGCAACTGTATGCTGCGTGGCTTTGAACTTGTCTCTATCTGGTTTAGCCACTAGCGCCAGTAAAGCGCTGAGAACTCGAGCAGTCCGCGAAACCGTGCCAGGCGCTGGATGCCTGTACCCCTTCACCAGGTGACCCACTAGTGCGAAGTGGAAGTTCGATCGGAAACTGCAATGTAATAACGAAAATAGAAAGTGGGTGTCGAAATTCAAACGAAGAAACAGCAAATGAAAAAAGGGGGGGATATTAAGGCAGAAAAATATTGGGAATGAATGGATTTAGTAATCAGTAATTTAACTCATATTTTCCATCAGAATAGGGTGGTGGGTCAAACCTCTTTAATACTTCTATCACAAGAAAAAGTGAGGAATAGGTTAGGTTAGGTTAGGTTAAAGATGCGCACGAAAATTTATTATAGATACTCTTACTCACCTGAGTCCAACCGCGTGATCTAGCTGTTTGAAGTGCCACTCCAGAGGCTCTCTGGTCTCCATCATTACCTGCTGCAACGTCTGGAATACCAAAACTGCACTGAAAAACCTTTTTAAACATATTCTAAGTACTTGTGGTTTTGAAGATTTGCAAAAATGAACATATGTGAGAAATAACTATATATATATTGCTTAATGTATTAAAAAACAGTTGGCGGTTAAGACACAGTTTCTATTTATGAAAAATCTTAATAACTATTGAAATATGCAAATTGTTTGCAATATATCTGGTATAAGACGATGGTTCTTCCACCGAAGAAATTACCTTAGTCTCAAAGTGTCCCTGAGAATCGAGGGTGTGAAGGTTCTGTTCTAGAAGAGCGAGTCCAGCAGCATACAGTGTCGGTTCGTCTAGTTGAAGTACAGACACAGACACCCAGAACAATGCTTTGTGTATGGGAGATTCCTACAACATAGGTATAATTGATAAATGAGATAAAAATAACTACAATTAAGAAAAATACTTAAAAACTAGAATTAACTCAAAAAAACACTTTAACGGGTTTAAAACGCAAAATACATTTGTTAACGTAGGTTTAGGTACAGTTCTGAACAGACAAAGCTACTTAATTTAATTTTCAATTACAAAAACAGATGGCGCGGACATAGGAATAGAGACCCCCCCATTTTTAGGCCCCTCCACCCGCGACTACCGCTAAGGCTAACGACTTGTAGTTTGAAACGTTAACTACTGTCGTTTTCTAAACCGTTAAAGTGTCTTATATATTGCACTACTCGTATCAATTACAGATAAAAGAGAAAATTTTCTTTAAAGTATTTTTTTTACGTCTACGCTGGTCTTACCGCATCCAACAACGGCTGCAGTCTGGTCAAACACATGATTATCGCTTCCAGCAGAGCCATATCATTGAAGGATTCCAGCGCTTTCACTAATATCCGAAGAAGTTGTTTCATATCGTCATCTGTTACATTCTTACCTAGGAAGAAAATACTCAATATATTGAAGATGAAATTTAAAAGTTTAACGGTTGAAGACTTGTATACTTTTTACATGTTATGGCTATATAACTGTTTAAAAGTTACCTTTAGATGTTTGTTTTATTATTTTTTTATGACGGAAACAATATCATTTTTTGTTGCGAAGTTTTTTGATGCAGCCAGGTCAAGACAGGCGGCAAAGACTGACAGGCAGGTAAGTAAAAGGGTTCTGTTGTTCCCTTTGTGCGCGAAACCCTAATATACGGTAAATGTATTGATTACTTCCATTACTTCTAAGAATGGTATTAATTACTTACTAATACAGCCGAATACTATTAGCGCCCTCGGTTGCAACGCAGGATTGAAGCAGAACGCAAAGCTTCTGGCTAGAGACGTCCTGAAATAAAAATTATTTTACTAATTTGTATCTTTGACGTATATTTAAAGACTGCGAAATGAGAATCTATCAATTTTAATAGTGTAAAGTAGAAGTAGTAGAAACCTACAAGTAGTGCAGAGTAGATTAGTTATTTTAATGTGCATACAGTCTGTTTTGTATATATGTTGACGAATTTGATATGGATAAAAACGCCGCTAGAGGCAGAGTAGCCTAACAGCAATTTTTAAATAAGTTTTATAATATTAGGCCACTCTCTCTCTAGCAGCCTCATTTAAAAGTTAAGACAGAAAAAAACGAAAGTCACCTTATTGCGTATATAGTCTACGCAATAAGTGCAAATTTAAATAACAATTTAAACGGTTTAAAACGCGAAATATATTAGTTAAACATATTTTTTACAACGACTCGACGTTTCGTATACTTTACAGTAGCCTTGATCAAAGAGCACCTGAAGATGAAAGATATTTAATATCAAAATGTTTTCCTCTAATTGTTATTTGGAAAAACTAGCTGGGTTCTTACAGAATTGGCTGAGTCACTCATAATTGGATCATAATTAAAAAATAAGTTTGACTTGTATGCATTTTACACCCTTAAGAGTGTTTTATTTAAATAGCATCATTGTATTCAAGAAATACCCACCATGTCTTCAACCAATCACAGTCCGGGATGTCTCGCATGCACGCCTCCATGATTTCGAGAAGGGCGTCCGTGATTGTCTCCAATGACTGAAGCGGGAGTCTCTCGCGGTCGGTCACAGACGACGCCATTATCGGTCCCATGATGCAGGACGACTGGCTGCAGCCATAGGAGTGTTCTGAGTACCTGTAAACAATTCATTCTTTTTACTATACAACTTTGTGTGAAATTCCCTTTTCCCCCTCGTGGGGCATGGGGCGAACACGTCTCTGTCCGGTTCATTGATCTGTCCTTTACCTTTACCAAAATAGTTTATCAGACTTATGTGCCCTGCCTGACCGAAACGATTTTTTGTTTCCCTGGGATTCGAATTTAGGACTACAAAGTTTATACAATGAGAAGTTTGATATAACATCTATATGCAAATGGAGTGCTTAGTCGCTTGCAATTTAAATAAACTATTTTTTTTATACGATAGAGAAGAACAGCAAGATGCACTGTCGACTTATTTTAGCCTTGTATATTGGGAAATCCACGCGATTATGGTTCACGTCTTTTATATCTGCGGATGGTGGTTTGTGACGCTGACGGAATTTCGATATTCCTACCGCCCATTTCATACCCGTTGATTATTAGCCTTACATTGCTAGAGTAAGACGCACATATTAAAAAAATATATTAAAATCCCATATCATTATTAAGTAAAAGTAGCGAGAAGGGACAACAAGAATAACTTAGACGAATGATCACAAACTGTAATCCTTCAAAGTACAGACAATATTTAATAAAATCTTGTATAATATTTTGTAGAAACATCGCTTCTTACCAATCGCCAGTATGTCTATGATATGGACTCCTGAAGGCGGTGACAGCTGCTGATTTGACCTTCGATATCCCGAACATCTGGTAGAACTTCGGCAGAGCGAACTCATCCAAGGAGAGCATTAGCAGACGTTGAGTTTCCTCTGCCAATTATAAAGATAACTTTTAAATAAAACACTGTAACGGTATAAAAAAATAAATATTAGTTAAATTTACTTGAAAATGATTTTAACTACAGCCCGACATTTTCTATGCTTTGCAGTTTCTTCAAATATGTTTAAGTAATATATGTCGCATTTTGAACCGTTAAAGTGTTTTATTTAAATACGTCTTAAAGTACTAATAACTAGAATACCTGAAAAGGTAGGTGAATTGCAAGTACACAGCGAGTGGATGATATTGATGACCAGGCCATGAGTGGCAGCTCGCATAGAAACAGTCCCAGAGCAGACCAGGAAAGTGACTGTGTGGAACAGGTACGGCAAGTGACGCGCCACATCCAAGCAATTGTTGAATGACAGCATCAACTGTAACAGACAGGCTCATATGAGAGAATAGAAAAAGACCTACGTATCACTTTACAATACATAAAAACTTAATTTATCAGGTAGTTTGATAGCTTTAATATTTTTACACACGATGGAATTATATCATTGAAAAAATATTTAGATTAATAAAGATGCAGTTGTTAGCAGAATTATACATTAAGCTGTGACCAATACAAGAAATAAATATTTCGCTGCGCTGCGCGTGCGCTGCGAAAACGGTTCAAGTTACTAAAAAGATTACGTATCAAAAATGGATGCCTCTTTAAACTATCTAAAAAACTGTTCAAGACAATATATCTTTAGAGATTAAGTTGCTACACCGACGGGCTGCGCACGACATCGTGGGTACAAACTAAAATTTACAAATAGAGGTTTTACAAAAATACATTTTGATGACCGAATAACTATTTTGCACGGACGAAGTCGCGGCCACAGCTAATTTTGGATAAAGATGACAGAAGTACTTACTTAGGCATGAAATTACTTTATAACTTACCAAGTATCTCGCTAGTATTGCTATGTCGTCCCACATCATGTGCTGTTCCAGCATCGCTGTTGGCGAGTGACACGTCTTGTCGACAACCTGGCGATTTTGACGTAATGTCAATCACTTTGTATTGAAAAATTATTTGATATACATATTGATTCGGTTGAAACAAATAGTTTTAACCGGTTTTTTTCTAGAAAAATTAAAACTGGGAAAGGAAAGTAGAAAAAAAAACACTCACAGTAGCTAGAGTAATAGGGCCCAATGTGTTATTGGGTAGCTTCGATAGCGCCTGCGTGAAGAAAAATACCAAAAAAATAAAACAAAACATAAAAAAAGAAACAATATTAAAACAAAAACTAACAAAGTATAACTAAATAGCAACGTCAATAATGCTACAATTGAATGTAATATAATGTTAAAAAACGGTTCAAAACGTGTTCTACTCGCGTACACAGATAGTATTTAAAATCAAACTCACTCTACACATGCGTCCAATGACTTTCTTAGACACAAGCTGTACATTAGCCGAAGCCAAGGCAACTGCTGTGTCCGCCATTATTTCTATCATGGGAGATCCAAGACCTAAAAAAAAGAATGTAAATTAATAGTATAAATAAATAACATTTTAAATATTGTACTGTTGCCTAGCATTGCCTAGTTTAGTCCTAGTCCTATGTTTGAATTGAAAGCAAAAGATAAATCGTGTAGGTCGTACACGGCACACATATTAATTATTTCGAACAAATGTTTTTACTATAAAAACGATTTTACGAATGAATCTTAAAAGATATACATATATCGTTGGACTTTCGTATTTAGGTATCTTGAACCAATTTCGCAGCGGACGCAACGAAAAACCCTCAATTATGAATAATTTCCCCAATTTTATCCCATATTTCCCTCATGGTTATAACCTAAAGCTTTCCTCAATAAATTGCCCAACCAAGTAGTGCCTGCGTTATATTACTATAGATAATATACTTATACATAAACAAACTCACAAGTGGCTATAACAAGACGACAAAAGCTATACTATACAGACGCTGTGATATTACCGGAGTCCACACTCCTCTGTATGAAGCTGTCTAACACCATGTCGATCAGCTCCGGCACATGGCCAATCGAGCCCCAAATCTTGGCCTGCACAGATGGATACATCTCCGTCTCCTCAATTGTCAGATCGATTAGTTTCTCTAGAATCTGCGCAACTTGTTTCTGTCTACGCGATTCTTCTGTCGGCTTGCAGAACCTGTTTGTTGTTTTTTTTATTACTTGATAGTAGGTGAAATAGTCTAACCATATAACATCTATACTAGATGTGCTGTCGACCCATTTTGGCTTTGAATATTAGAAATCCACAGACTGAAACCGAACTAATTAAACTTGACGGCTTTTTCATCCGTGGAGGAAGGTTCGTGAGCCGGACGGCATTTCGATCCAGTATGTATTCGTATCCATTTAATATCCAGTTTTCTAGGCGAAGTAAAACTTGTTTCAAAAATATTATGGACCCGGTGGGGATCCAGCCCACCACCCCTAAATCATTAGCCGTACATTGCAGTACACCAACGAACCCGTCGTTTATTGCATAATAATTTAAAAATAATACTATATATCTTACTATACACAAATGAATGAAAAAATGCGATAGTGACATGTGGGACACTGTAGCTTAACTAATAGAACAGCATGGGGTATCGTGGTGGTTCGAGTCCCACCGGTGACATCGTTTTTTTTTATCTTTAAAAGATTTCCATTTAAAATAAGTCTTTGAATTACTTAGTACAGCTTTTGTTAATATTACTTACTTGACTAAATTAGCGAGCCACGGCGTCATGTATTCTAGACATAAATGTTTTAATTCAATCGTGGAACCTCGAAAACCCTGTAAATAACATATGGGTTTGGTTAAAAAAAAATACTTTTACTCTCGTATCATGAAGTTGTTGCTTGATAAAGTACTACTGACTAACGATTTTTTAATTTCACGTTTCAGTTTGTTTTGAGGCAGTTATATGTTTAATACTAAATTGACTATTAAAATATATTTTTGTCAATTATTGACATGGAGTGTGTTTTTGCAGCGCACGCCTCGGAAACCCATAACGATCAATAGTTTTCCCAATTCTTTTCACATTTTGTCGCTGGGCGATGTTTTAAAGCCCATAGCCTTCCTCGATAAATGTTCTAGACAACACAGAAATAATTTTGAATTCGAACCCGTAGTACCTGAGATTAGCGCGTTCAGACAAACAAACTCTTCAGCTTTATATATTAGTGTGGATAGAGATTCTAGTATTTGTAATGTTGCAAGGTGGTGGAAAGGACGGAAATACTCACCTGAATGCACTCCTCTAAGAATTCCAGCGTTAGATGTGGTTCGTTATGCGCCAGTTTCTCGCTGACAGATTTTATAAATATTGTGTTATTTGATGGAATGCAAAGCCCTGCAAATATAATGAAAGTTTAAAGACTATTTAAAAATCGGTAGATTTCGAATCCAAGACTAATAACGTACTACTGTTGTTCTAACATTTATTTTTAACTTTTATTTTCGTACTTGTAAAAGGATAGTGGAAAATAAAAAAATATTCATACTATATTACGGTGATAAATTAGTAAGGAGGTAGTAACGTTAGTTATTATATATATACACATTGAGTAGGTCTGAGAATCGGCTTTCATCTATTTTTCATAATTTTAAGTCATCCCTTCCCATTTTTTTTTAATTTCTTAAAAAAAACTTTTTGAATTTTTTTTTCATTCTTTTTCGCCCACCCTTATTTTTTAATAGTTATTTTTTCTTGCCTCTTTCACTCTTCTTCACACACAATAAGTAGAGCAACACTAACTCCACTAATCCACACGAAAAATTCCTTAAACATTATTTATGACAACACTGATAGCTAGTTCGAGTCCGAAATTAACCAAAAAAATGGAAGACAGACAGAACTTTACAAAGCAATGGTAACAAATACCTGACGTTTCCAACAACTGCCCTTCGATTTTTAGATGAAAAGTGGCGGTCAGTGCGCACAGCTGATTGTAGGCGGCGGTACGTAGGTTCGGATCGCAAGAACCCAAGTTTAGGAGGGCCATATTGAGAAGAGTTCCCGGTACGTCCTTCGGTCTTATCTTCTGATGGACGGTCACTGAATCTTGCTGGAAGTTGGGTAAGATTGATTTAAATTATTAAAGACGCAATTCTGTTTATAATATCAGTATACATAAACCGTGTTGCCTTTATACAGGGTCGTTATGATAGAGGAGAACAGATAAGAATGGAGTCACTTGATGGAAGGTGAAATACCCCAGCCATTCAACCTCTTGACAAGATGCGCTGCTGACCCATTTCGGCTTTGGATATTCAGAAATCCATAGACTGAGATTGAAACGGAATTAAATTTGACGCTTTTTAATGTGGGTGGTTCATGATCAGGACAAACTTCGATATTCCTACCATCCATTCAATACTTCCAGATGTTTCAAAGTATTACAAATCGATCCGTTTTTTATTTGCTATACATTGCTACCATTAGATCAACTAGTCCTTCGAAATCAGTTAGGGCACAGTAGATTGATCGACTACTTGCCTATATAAATCGACCAGTGAGTCCACATTTCAAGTCGTAACAATGGGTAACGTTAGTTCAGTATTAATGTACATAAAGATATTATTTTTCAATATAAAAATGTAGATTTAGCTAAACAATCACAAAAATGTATCTGCCCATGCCATGTGGGAAACGAAGTGTCGCTATGAGTATATATAGAAAAATATATCAACGTGGAAGTGTAGTAGGTGAAAACAGACATAAAACATCTCTTCCCCGTACCCCACGTAAATGAGGATTTAATTTCTATTACAACTCACCGGCTGACTCAGCTCCCATCTATTCCGTATATGTATGATCGACTGCACGATATTATCGCAGTCGTTATGAATAAAACTAAGCGGCGTCGCCTCATTTACGATGGACAGCGAAAACTGGTTGTCATCCACCAGACAAACCTACAAACAAAGTTTTTTTTTAAATCATTATAACCAATTTGACATTTCATGATAACACAAGAGATTCAATTGTCACATAAGCCAAGTGTGATCTTATCATACTCATAATTGATATGGTAACCTTTTTCTGAATTATTTCATTAGAAGAGCGACCAAAGATAAACATTTATAGATGTTAACTCTTTCTATAGTTTACGCGAGTAGTACACATTCAAATAAAACACTTTAACGGTTTCAAACGCGATATATTAGTTAAACTTATTTGAAAATGATTTTAAACTTCGGCCCGACGTTTCGGATGCTTTGCAGCAGCCGTGGTCACGGGGAGACCTCACGACGAAGTTGAAAATTATTTTTAAATAAGTTTAACTAATATATCGCGTTTTAAACCGTTAAAGTGTTTTATTTAAATATTATAAAATCTACTTAGAAATTAAATTTGAAAATTTACGGCAAGGGCGGGAACTTGAACCGACATCTACATCGTTCCAGGCTCTTTTAAATTGAGCTACTGTGTCCTATACCTTATCGTTAAATTTGCGAATGGAATTTTCGCTACTTAAGATACATTTACAGACAGACAGACAACAAAATCTTATTAAACGGTGTCCCTCTTACTATTTGGGTGTCCGAACCCCAACTATTCTTTAAGCAAACTTACCTCATCAATCTCTGATGCATAATAAACATCGTTCAAGAGAACAGGAAATCCAAGAACTTTGGTTTTCTCCACCGAAGTAATCTGCAGCGCTGTAGGACCAACCTGAAAAACGTTAAGAGCGTTGTAGAGTTATCCACACATTTATTTTTTATATATCTATAGATAAGGCCGCTAGAGGCAGAGTAGCCAAACCTCAATTTTATGACTTGACTTATTCATATTTTCATAGTCTAAAAATACTGTCCGTAGTTTACGCGAGTAGTACACATTTAAATAAAACAGTTTAACGGTTTAAAACGCGATATATTTTAGTTGAATTTGTTTGAAAATTATTTTTAACTACGGCCCGACGATTAAACTTCTTACACCAATAATATAATAAATAAATTAATTTTCGCCTAAGTCAATTTGGGAATCTGTTACGTAAAGCGCCCTTGGCTACTGCAAAGCATCCGAAACGTCGGCTGAAGTTAACAATTAGTTTTCAAATAAGTTTAACTAATATATTGCTTTTTAAACCGTTAAAGTGATTTATTTCAATGTGTACAACTCGCGTAAACTATAGACAGTATTTAATATATAACAATCAACATATTAATAATGTTTTATGACTTATAAGGGTCAATATACCTTTATGGCAACTTTGGTATCCTTATGTGACAGTTTCAGCGCGTTATTGAACACTTTGAGGTCTTCCTCCAACGCCAGTGTCGCTCCTGGCAACTTTTGCTGCTCCGAGTCTATGTAATCGCATAGACGAGCGTGATTGTCTATGAATATCAGTTTCCGGTTGCCCTGAAAAAAAAAATTATTGCATCTTTATTGTTATATGTGACGGATTCGATGGTCCAATGTGTGCTTCACAATCAACGGATCGTGGTTTTGTTTTTTCTACCAAGTCCAAAAAAAATATATTCAAATCAATTTATAGCGTTTCTGAAAGTCATTGGATAATTTAGGTGGGTAGGAAGCTCAAACTGTCGTCCGGATCACAAGCCACCACCCGCAGATAAATAAATAGGGCGACGGCGCATCTTTTCAGCACGTCATATGGCTGGGGTGTAACTCCATGCTTGTCTATCCTTAGTATAAAAGTCTTAAATTCCAGATATACATACCCTTAATGGTGCTAAAATTGTTTCATGAAACTTTGTATACTCGCGAACCCAGCTGTTGCAATTGTATATATAGCAAGCCTGAATATTGGTGTACGCAACTTCCGGGAGCACTGTAAACCATTTCTGAAGGAAGTCCGTTCTGAAAGCAACGTTATAATTATGGAATCTGTGCATAAAATACAGATTTTTGTTATATAACATCTAAAAATACGTACAGTGTATTTTTTCTAACTTGGCATTTTACTTCAGCAAATATGGCCGTTTTCAAACCATAGAGAACTAGTGGTAGCCATTTATAGAGTGAAGCTGTTGCCACAGGTGATACAAGGATAAAGAAATATCGATTATGTATAGACTAAACGACCTCAATATTCAAATCACTTTTATGACGAACGTAAATGATAAACATACTTTTTATGTCTTTATTTATATAAGTCGACGTCTGCTTTTCAGCGATCTTGCATAAGTAGGACGTCTCCCTTCTATTTACGTTGACTTTGTTCACTCTCATCCTTATGTAAATGTTAAACTAAAGAAATTTCAATCTTTGCATTATTTTCTTCATTAAGTACATTCGTTGTGTTTGTGTGGTGGTTCTTACTAAGTGAATTTGAGGTAGTTTATTATATAATCCAGTGGCTCAAAGTGTTCTAAGTGTAAATCAAAAGAGAGACTTGTGAGAAAATCACGATTTAATTGAAATAGTGTTTGAAAAAAAAAAATGCCAAGTTAGAAAAAAATACACTATAAAAGTCTATATGCATATTGATCCAGGTCGAAAATTGACATAATACAGAAGTTATAAGTAACTGTAGAGTTAGGGAGAAAAATTCGTGACATCCTGCATTAATATACAAACCTGAACCTGTTATCAGAGTTGGTGTGGGTGAAGTCGATGATCAGCTCGAAGGGCTGTTGGCAGAACGGCTTCAGTGTGAGGATGACGTGGTATATCAGCAGGTCGGCGTTCACTTCACCGATTCTGAAAATAGTTAACGATTTTTTTATTAATTTTATTTCACTTTATACCTATGACAATACAAATTACAGTAAATTTCGTGATTAAGAATACCTTCATTAAAAATACATCGTTCGTTAAATTGAAACACGGATTTAAAAAAAATGAAAATAGTTACTTAAAAAAGACATTTAAAATGCAGAACTTTGTATATTAACGAAACTTATTTTGAAATTTACAACCCGACACATGGGGTTTTTGGTTGAAAATGATTTTTAACTTAGGCCCGAAGTTTCGGATGCTTTGCAGTAGCCGTGGTCGCGGGGAGACTAATCGCGTTTTAAACCGTTAAAGTGTTTTATTTAAATGTGTACTACTAGCATAAACTATATACAGTATTTACACATTACATTTTTTCTTCTAAAAAATAATAGACAGAATACTAACTTATATCTCCTAGAGATAAAATAGAATACAGGATTGCCGAGTTTACTGGTCCCCGCTTGGTAGAAGATGTTCAAACTTTTGATACTCTTAAACTCCTCCTTTTGATGCATATTGTGCTTCACTATGAACTCTTCGAAGTTCGTGGAAGACATGTCTATGGAAGACCAGCGCGCGTATGATGAAAATAGGAGACTTGAAGTTCTGTTAAAAAATAACAATCGTTTATTACTATTTGTTTGTAATTAAATGTTGTTTTTGTCAGAAAATACTCACGATTCCACGGGCTTGTGTTCTGGTGGACCTAGATAAGCCAGTAGTGTTGCCATCTTAAAAAAAAAGTTAAATTACATTAAATCAATAATTTTTAACGAGTTGAATGGCGAAATATCGTATATTTTCTTACTAACAATTTATTTTAACTATGGACCATCGTTTTAAATGCTTTTCAGTAATCATGGTCGCGGGGGGACTGATTATGGGGGTGTCGCTAATGTCGAAGTCGAATCTGCTATGCTAGCGCCATCTATTTCGACGTAGTAGTTGTTTACCTTGTCAAAGGGCCGCCGTCCAACCGCCTTATGATCGCGACTACTCGATAGATAGTCCCCAATCCTCTCTTGATGATTCCACAGAAGCCGATGCAACGCCAACACATTCGCGTCGCTGATAAACGATAGACTATGAGCCGCTTGCTCCACGCTTTCGCAGTCAGATGCTATTTGTATGAAGAATCTGTAATATTGTAAATGTATTAACATTATTGTCATTTACTCAACTAATTAATTATTTAATTCAGTATTTTAACATAGTAAAGTCAATTTCGTCTGGCTTGTCTATCTAACCATTTGACTAATAATAACGGATTGTGGGTTTAGAGTTCCACTAGGCCCAACTTAGTTTTTCAAAATTACTTTATAACTCTCTAACTAATCTTAAACGGTTTTAGGAATATCGAAATTCCCACAGGGTCACAAACCGTCCAACACAGGTGAAAATGGTTCAATGTTGCATCTTCTTGAGATGGCTGGGGTATGCACCATTCAATTGAATTCTTTGCTAGTCTGTCCTTCTCGATTATATAAAAAAAATGTATTGTTTCTTTATAAAAGATAGAAAGAAAGAGATAGAGAGAAACGCTATCAAACACCTTTCTATAAACGTTGAAGTAGTACGTTATGGTCTGTATAGCAAAATGTTGCCTTACTTGCGTCCAGTTTCAAAATGAATTCGAAGGAAGTCATTAAATGGCAACATATGCTGCTCCTTGGAAAACTCCACGTGGTTTGCGATGTTCTGCAATATCTTGGACATCAGCATCAAGCCTCGCTTTATTTGGGGTGGTATCGGTCTGTTGACTATGCCCATTTCTTGTGGTGAAACTGAAAAACACAGATCGTTAATGCACTGGCAATTTCTTTGTTGGATAAACGGTTAACGAGTTCAGTGTAAAGCAATGTATGGTTAACTTTACAGATAGTTTTCGGAACCCAATAGGTCAAACAAGTGTCTTAAATCGATTTTGACGAGCTCGTCGTATGGCTATGAACGGGACGTGGATTCGATCCCCACCAGGTCCAACGTTTTCTAATTTTCAATTATAACCTTTTTGAATCATGGTGGACTCTTCGTCTGGGAAATTAAATGGGTGGTAGCAATAAGGAAATTCCATCCGAGTTACGAACCACCGTCCACAGATTAAAAACGTGAAGCTTAATCGCTTTTCGGTTTCAGTCTGTGGATTTACGAATATCCAAACCAAAATAGGTCGACAACGCATCTTGTTTAGGGGTATATCACCTCCATCAGGGAACCCCGTGCTTGTCTGTTCTCCTCTATCATAAAAAAGGAAAACATTTTTAACTTTCCTTATACTTCTCAGTCAAATCGGTTCATATATAAATACAGTGTCATAAAACTACTTTTTATATATAAACTTAATTGTACATATATATATACAATTTTCTTACCAATAGCCGGATTGATGAATCTCAAAAAGAGTACAGTACCAACAGCACCAACACTAGTGTGGGGAAACTGAGCGAATCGTTTGTTCAAAACCTGGAAGAGAGCGCGCGCATACCTTAAGAACCTCGGCAGAAAACAGAACCCTCTTTTTAAATGTCCAGTGGTGGAAATAGTAACGTAACAGTTTTGAATAATTGTGATTATTTTGGGTTCCGTAACCGAATAGAAAAACGGAACCCTGTAACTAGAACAATGCTGTCTTTTCGTCAGTTTGTGAGCAAGCTGTATTTCACTCGCTGCTGGGTATTGCTGTTGCTGCTATAAATACAAATAATAACAGCTGGGAGGGCAGTAGAACAATCCAAAAAATGTTTAACTTTTCACTTATTTTAATAATTAAGAATGTTTTTTAACCTCCTACTAGTGTTTACATAATTGCGGAAAATTACGTGAGCGAATAAAAAAACGTATACGTTACGCTTCGATAACAAAACTAGTTACCCTATGGTTATAATAATAAGGTGCAATATTCAACTCACCTGATACAAACAGTGGCACATGCTCCTCAATTGTGGGGGGAACATATCGGCACAGTTGACGATACGTTCAAAGACTTCCTTCGTGAGTTCTATCAAATTTGCTCTGTTCACGTCTATGTCTTCGCTTGGGTCCAGTCTGCAAGATATTTTAAAGGTAACTTTTAGTTTATCCAATATTGGCGATAATAAACTCATTCCCACAGTTAAAATAGACTTCGCTTATTCAACAATAAGATAAAAAAATATGTACTCTTTATTGAAAATATACGAATACGATATTTCCGTGCCTCCGAGAGCATGTTAAGGCGTAGGTCCTGATTATGAGCAAACATTTAGTGGCCTTAGGGCCCACCAATCCACCCTGGTGCAGCGTTGTGGGCATGAGCACTTAAAACCTACCCTATGTGAGAGGAGACTATGTCTATGTTCAGTATCGGGATGATAATCAAAAAAATTTCCTCCTAACTCAATTAAAAATATTTCAAACCTTGCGGGATCGACTTCAAAACTCAACTCAGGTTGTTCCAAAAGAGAGTTTATGATTGGTTCCAAAAGACTTTGTAAGTATGTATGTCCGTATATCTTAAAGCAATAGGCCATTATCTTGCTACCTAACGAGTTGCCTCGGAAAAGAGTTTGCATACAGTCTGAGACCTGAAAAAAATAATTATAATATTAATAAAAACATAATGTTATATTCTAATCGTAAAAATTGAAAGTTTTGTATGTTATCTCATTGAGGGTAGTTGTGTATTAAGAAAAATATCCCCTATTGACTTGAGGAAACAGCATATTTATGCGGGTAGTTTACGATGGTGTATAGTTTAAAAGTAGCTAAAACTATCATTGACATATGCATTACTTAATTGTTTGACGGACTCGTTGGTCTAATTACAATTTAATAGCAACTGGTTGTGGGTTACGACAAGGTCCAACAGTTTTCTAATTGGTTCAATTAATATTTTTTTTAAATATGTTTGACTTCGTCTGGAAATCTGGATATTAAATGGTGCTAGAAATGATGAAATTCCGTCCGTGTCACGAACCACCGTCCACAGATGAAAAAGCCGTGAAGTTTAATTTCGGTATCAGTCTTAGATTTCCGAATATCCAAAGCCAAAAGAGGTCGACAGCGTATCTTGTGTAGATGTTATATTTGCTTGCTGGAGTATTTCACCTTCCATCACGTGAACCCCAACGCTCGTCTGTCCTCTTCTATCATTAAAAAAAAAACGTTACTCTTTGTACATATTCAGGTATAACCTCAAACAAGTATTACCTCAACCTCCCTGTAGAATATATTCCAAAGAAGTGGAGCTAGTAGGTGTTTAGCATCAAACAGAGTGACGAATACCCTTGCTAGCTCATCCATTTGTGACGTACTGACTACACTCGCCAGCGCCATCGCTATCGGTAGTTCACCCTGAAGGAACGAATGAGAATGGACGAGTGTGAATCATTTATGAACTAATTAGTACTACAAATAAATAGAAGTAGAGTTAAACTAGAATTAAAATTTTAAGTTAAAACCATAAAATAAAACTCAACATTCTATTCTCGATTAAGAAAATTGTATACCAGTAAAACAACGAACGAAACAAGTAATGGAGTGTTGTCTCTTTCCTACAATTCAATATCCCGAACAAAGTTTACAATAGTTAAGAAAACCAAATAAGAGACCCCGTTCTTTGAGGCCAATTTAGTTGTTAACTTTTGACCCGTTTTATTGACATAGACTATAAGTATTTTATTGGGCCTTGGAGAGTAGCGTCTGCCCCAGCTTTTTATTTATGTATTGGCGGTAGATGGTAGAACCCACCACTACCCGCACTAAAGCAGCGTAGGTGGGATTATGCGTGTCTAAGATTTATGGCCTTACTATTGGTAAAACCGAAACAATTTTGTAACTTACCTTATCAGATATCATCGTAACCAATTGAACTAGCTGCTCAAATCTATCAGCCAGTACCGTTTCTGCCAGAGTATCGAACTCTGTACCTTGCTGAAGTATCTTAGTCAACACCTCCATGAAGGCAGCGCGAGTCTGTAAGTCTCGGTGGTAGCCAAGATCTGTAAAAATGGTGCTGTTTGATACAAAACTTGGGTTTAACAAAAAGTTACACAATATTATTAGATGCTAAAAGATTTATGATGTCATCCAAGTAAAAGATAATTATTGACTATATAATATTTCAAACAGACGTTGAAACATTATGTGACGAATCGTGGGTTTATATAACATCTGTGTATTTTTCAATAACGTTCAAGACAGCGGTGCAATTCTTAACTACGCAACATAAGTCTAACAGCAGTATTTGTATGAAATAGTGATAAAAGTCAATATAACATATTATATATATTAAAAAACCTACTTGAGTTTTTTTAATTTTACGAAACGTGCAGGCATTGTACCGGCAACTACAGCGTATTTTTTTTTTCAATCATAAATTGATTTTTAATTTATATAATGCCATCATATGCAAAAACATGAAAAATTTTTTTTTTTTTCAATTTCAATAAAAAAAAATTCTCAACCAAGCAAAGATTGAAGCCTATCTTGTTTTTTGTCAATTACTACTTGTCGAAAGCTTACCGATACTATGCATCAATCCAGAGTCAATATTAGCACTAAGAAGATTAGACATAGCCTGGATTGTGGCTTTTCTCAAGGTGTCGAGACGGCCGGGTCCTTCAGTAATCTCCACTTCATTGCAATCATTCAAGAGGTTCATGAATAATGTGAAATATCTGTAATAAATATTAATTTAAACTAAACAAGAGTTAAAGAACAATGCTTAGTAACTTGCTATTTAACCGGCACAGAAGAGATTAGAGAAGCTTTAAGAAGAGACAAACATACACAGTGTCGGAAAAAGTGAAAACTTGAATGTTTACATTTTTTGCCCGACTTGCTTTAATTATCCATGTAAACGTACTATGATTTATGTGACAGAATACAATTTTTATTTATTGCGCTATTTACTACTAGCGTGTTTTAACGCTTAACATTTTTATTAATTGCAAACGGTGTCCAAATCCGGCCAAAGATATTTTTTTACATAAAGGAGCAGACACACGGTTCACTTGATGGAAGGTGAAATACTCTAGCCATATAACATCTACACAAGATGCGCCTTAGACCTACTTTGGATTCGGATATTCGGAAATCCACAGACTGAAACCGAAACGCGATTAAACTTCACAGCTTTTTATCTGTGGCCGGTGGTTCGTGACCTGGACGAATTTTCGTTAATGCTAGAGCCATTCCTACCCATTTCTTATGTCCAGACTAGACTTGTCTATTCCGATAGACATGTCTAGTGTGGACGTCCAAGTCAAAGACATATAGGCATACTTGAGAAAGAGCTGGCTCTTGGCCTCCATCAGATCCCCCCGGTCTGACTCCTCAGGCTGCAGCGGGAGCCCTTTGAGCAGCGCAGCCACCGCCTCCATGCAGGCCTGGTCCAGCTCTCTGGGACACATCACATGCCTGTTACACAACAGTCAAATCTCACGCTCTTTACAGTAATAAACTAACAACGATTAAAATGTGGTGACTTACTTTTATGAAATATCAGTTCTATTATTTTAATAAAAAAATATTTGTATTTAACAATTGGAGTCAAAAGCTTATTTCACAATATTTATTAATAAGTAATTTATTATCTTAACAGAATCGTCATTTGAAAACTTTAATATTTTTCACATGTTATTCACTATAAAAATCGATTATACATAAAAACAAACGACACGGGTAGGACTTGAACCGACATCTACAGCATCGATTATATTTTTTCCATTTATAACACGGTTGCTCAAATGGTTAGATTAACAGCACAAAACGCTGTAGAGTTCAAATCTTGTGTCGTATTGTTTTTTTTTTTTCAATTTATGATCTATTTTTAACAATAGGTGGTATTGATAAAAGATAATTAAAAAGCATAGAGATAGAATAGAGAACTAACAATTCTGAAAAAGTTTTGGCTACTATGGAACCAGGATGAGAAAAATAAAAGTTAGTAATTGAAGTTATTTACCTGGTAATAGATGAAGCATCCGCCCTCAAAGGCGGCGCAATTTGATGGCTGGTCCCCAAAACCCAATCGGTCACATATTCCACCATTTTGTTGCGAAATTTCATTTCCTGAAATTAAAAGCATATCATGTAATTTTCTTTTATTATAAAAGCGAGTCATTACCTCAACTAAACTAAAAAAAACTTTAAAATTAGCCTTGCAGAAAGGTAGGGAAAAAGGGGGAATAGAGAAAGAATGGGTCAGTTACTTATGTACCCGACTGTCTCCCCAATAGAAAATATACAGCTGTATAATAGTACAATGAACACTAGGCTTAATGGATAAATAATCAACACAATTTTCATTGAATTCACCAATTGTTTCAGACAGAGATCTCCCTTCCCATAGTTGAGGATTTTAACCCTTACAGTACTTTAAGATGGCTGTGGCTAACTATGCCAACCCAACACAATATTTAGCTACTTTGGGTGTAAAAGACTAGACAAAAATAGCAGAGTGAGAGACTTTCTATAATTTCGTACGTTTTAATTTGACATTGATCAAAAAAAATCAATTCATTAATAATTGTATAATCGATAACGATTTTTGTAGAAGGAAAGAGTATTTCCCTTGAGCGTGAAAGGGTTAGGATACTAATATGTACTACTCCCTTATTATTACAATCTTACATCAACCACGTTGCTCGAGTCCGATGTAATAATTTCGTTATAACTAACCTGTCTGAACGACAAATCGTCGCGACGCCTCATCATAGCTTCGACCACTTGGCAGAGCTTCGTTTTTATGTGCACCGACAGAACAGTCATGTCCAGATGACGAACATACCTACATATAGATTTATTTTGCGTAAAAAAATAAGGAATAACTTATAGCGGCAGGGGTGTATTGAATAATACATGCAAATCAGTATAAGTTTATCTATATATATCATTAAATATATAAGTAAATATTTCAAGTAAGAATATTTTTTATAAAAAAATCAGCCATTGTATTTTGTAGATATTCCAATTGATTTTGATTAAAATATTTAGGCATATAACATCTAATTTATTTTAAGTTTAATTGCAATTAAAAATTTTAATTTTGTCAAAGAATCGTTTGAATTGAATGTAAGTAGTACAATAGAACCTCGGTATTCCGAACCCACGTTTGGTGATCCCTGTTATCCGGACGGACAATACATTTTTTTACACGTGTTTCAGATAAAGAATAATAATGCTAAGCAAGTCTTCGCTTCGTCGCGGAACGCGAATCTCCTCATTACGTCATCCACTATGCAGTATATAATTTTGTTAGGTTGGTTTAATTGAATTAAACATTATATGTATACTATAATCCCGATCATACCTAAGTGTTTTTTTTTATTTTGCCTATTCGAATAAGCGAAGTGCCAAAGTGAGAGGTGTAGTACAAACAGAAAAGCTACACAAAGAGAGGATCATTAGAGTCTTACCTGACAATAGCCAACATGAGGCCTTCAATCGAAGTACTGCTAAGATGCTCGGGCTGGCCCACACCCTTATTGCTGTTATTATTATCAAGTATACTCTTCATGATGAAAATCGTATGCTCCACGAATTGAGTGTTCATTTCTGTCAGCATAACCTTAAGAAATACATGACAGATGTTAAAAACCATACAAAAAGATGTCTTAAGTGTTCTATGTAGTTTAGGCGAGTTATACAGAAAAGAAAAAAATACTTAACGGTATTAATCGCGTAATATATATATATATATATATATATATATATATATATACTTATTTTTACGTTTTTTACTACAAAACATCTGAAACGTTATAAGGTGTTTTACATTTGTGTGCATTTTAATTGGTATGTTGAGTTTTCATCTTTAATATACATTCTACAAATATATTGAACAATGGTCCTTCGAGCCGGATATAAACGCACCTGTTGTTGTTGATCGAAGAACTTATCGACAATGGCTTTAATTTGATCAAATAGTATGGGATATAATGCTGGAGACATTTCCTTGCCCACTAGTTCCTTCACATGACATTGTATATGAGCAGCGAAGCGTTCATTGTTGCATAGCAAAAGGCGAAGCAGTTGGCCTATGAATCTGAAAAGACAATATTTCTATATCTCTCATATCTCTCTCGAAACATCTCAAAATTAAATTAGCTTTGGGGTCTGCATTATACATATCCTAGGCAGTACAATATAGCTATAAGTACAGTATTAAAAAACGCGAGTAGTACATATTAAAATAAGCCACTTTACCGGTTTAAAACGCGAAATTTATTAGTTAAATTTATTTGGATATTATTTTAACTACGGCCCGACGTTTTGGAATGCTTTCCAGCAGTCGTGGTCACGGAGAGACTAAAGATGGAGAGTGTCTCTAGTGCTACACTACAAAACTGCTACACTAGCAGCTAGCTAGATTATTAGGTATATCTGTTTCTAAAAAATTTAAACTGATATATTTCCCGTTAAATAAATATTCATAACTAAAATATACATACTGAGTTACTGGACAATATTGGACTTCCTGCGTGCTGTTTGCCAAAACATGGTATTTTCTGGAATCTGTAACAAAGAGAAAGAGATCTAGAAATATTATATTCGAATAATGTACACAAATAATAGTGTTTGAAGTAAGACATACCGTGACCAAGAGCCCATACAGTTGTGGGTTTTCTTTGCAAACACACACCGCCCAAAGCGCATAGGAATGATGTTATATTTGCCCATTCCTGTATTTGCATCTGAAATAATATTATTTAGTATGTATTTCAAAATACACATAGGTATTATCTAAATATATAGAATCCTTTGAACCCTCACTTACTTCAAAATCATGTTCTGCACTGGTATGGTGTGAGACTCTTCTTTTAGCTCGATGAAGGGGCTCTGTTCCGTCTTCCATCATGCCAAACCCTTTAGGGTACTTTTGAAGAAGTTTGCACAGGGAATCCCTAAAATATATTAATGTTATACAGTCAGATGAAAGTATTTTAAAGAGGCGAACAGTGGGGGGGTTATATATATATAACACACACAAATATATATATTTTTATGAGAAATACCACAGCAATAGAAGATTACAAAAAGATGCACCGTTGAAATACTTTACTAACGGAATTCAACAGACTGCAACCGTAACGCGATTAAACTTTACTTTTTCATCTGTGGATGGTGATGTGAGTGGTTGGTGACTTGGGGTCGAAAGTTTCCCTTCGTATTCCTACCACCCATTTAATACCCAGAAATGTAAAAATAAATCTTATCAGAAACACACTAAACAACCAAACCCAGTTGATTATCAGACATACATTGGTACTATTAGACTAACGAGCCACAGATATAATAAAAACAAATGCAACATACCAACATCTAAATGTTTCCTCCCAAACTGGTTGTATGCCATTTACACAGTGTTCTATTTTTCTCAGTAGGGCCATTATTCGCTTTTGCAGAGCAGCTGTACCTAAGGTTTAATAGTCTTTATCATCTCCAATTGCTTATTTACAACTCTTAATAGTGTTTCCGAAAGTAACTCACTCTGTAGGTTATTTGGGTACCGACTGCCTGTATCCTTACAAGCTGCTTGAAACAAGATTTTATGGAGTTATATATCCTATTTGAAGCTTATAAGGTAGCTTTTGCCTAGTAAATTTGATTATCATTTTGGTATTAAAATATCATTTGTATGTAATGTAATATAAAATGTAAAAGGCCTTGTATTTGTTAATATTTATATATTTCACGTTTATCTTTAATCGTTACAATGACGCTTTCACCACCAAACAATAAGAAACTATAATCCAAATGATAAAATTCAAATGACGTAAGAGTACGTGAGCAGTCTCCTTAAAGTTATTAATGATTACTTCGATTTGCATTTCATTTTAGAAAACTATGAAGTATTGTCTTTATTTTATGCGAATGGTACACGTTAAATAATTTGTAACGGTAACACGAAATATGCCTTTAACTAGACCCAAGATTATGGATAGTTTACAGCAAAATGACCAACTGTAAAAGTGCAAACCTTACAATATCAATTATTGATTAGTTTCTATTTCTACTCACTAGTGGTCAGCACAGTTGAAGTTTGAGCGATTTCCTGAAACACAGAGTAGTTGGGCAACAGGCAATGCGTTGATAGGTCATCAGCGCCACACCGGATATCCGCCTCGCGACAAAGCAGGGCGAAGCAGGACATAGCCACGAGAACCGCTTCGGTGTCAATAGACCATAAGCACATTAAGAAGACCACCTAAAAAAATGTAAATGTCTCTAGTTGTACGAAGCGCTTAAAAGCAAATTTTAAAGGAAATAATTAGTTGAATACTGTCTATAGTTTATGCGAGAGAATGTTCGGGCCGTAATTACCGTTAAAGTGTTATACTTGAAATACATAAGTTGAACTTATTTGCAAATGATTTTAACTACGGCCCGACGTTTGTAACTAATATATTTTGCTTTTTAACTCGTTAAAGTATTTTTTTAGACTCTTAATGTACATTATTACCGGTTCTCTTGAATGGTATAGAACGAATAAGAAGAACTGGCAACAAACTCCTTGCCACTCCTTTCTTTAGATTATGGTATCGTGGCTTTAGTGAGCTTATTTATTACATAATTGCCCACTTCTATCTTTACCGTGAGTTTTATGGGGCAGACGTATGTATATATGTGTAGTTAGTTATTCCTACGGATAGAAACTTTTATGTTTTCACGGGATTTGAATCAAAGACTTCTCCTGCTTGACGAAAGCTATAATGAATTGAGTAAGTATTATCTTAGTTTAAACTAGCAGCAAGTTTTAATAAAACAGGTTATAAATTATTTCATTCATTCCGTGCGACTACCCACCAAATGGATTGTTAAAAACTGTACTATATAAGGCTGCTAGAGTTAGAGCGGTCTAATAACAAAAAACATGATTTTCAATTGGGCGGAAAATAAAAATGCGCAACTAACCGAGGCAAAAATTAAATTTTACTGTTATTAATTTAAGAATTATGTTAACAACTATCAGTCACTGTGCCCTTGTAGATTAACATTTTAGGCTATAAAAATATAAATAAGTCAAGTCGTTTAATTGCAGTTACACAATTTGCCTCTAGCAGCCTAATATATACTAGACTAATGGTTTACAGAATTAAAAATAAAATATACTTTATTGTCTTTAAGATTTCAAAAATTATTTATATTCGTCAAAAAATGTTTGTCTGTCTGTCGTAATTCTACAGAGTGCTCCAAAGAGCAACATGACCGAGAAGAACACCCAAGAAACTCATTCCGTCTCTCCGGCTTACCTCTAACTTAATATGAGCTTGCTTGCAAATAGGTATCTGTGACCCGACGTTAGCGTATTCCTTGTGTTTGGAGAGAAACTCGTTCCGACATATCAACACGTCGCGGAGCCAGCGAAGAACCTCTCTATAGTTGCTTATCTGACGTTGTATTAGCTTTTGGCTTATACTGTACACCACTTGTGAACTGGAAGAGAAATTACATGTATAAATAATTATAATTCAATACATAATCGTCACATAAATTAAATAATGTTGTTTTTTTTATTAAGTTTTTTTAAATGTATTCAGTTAGTAAGCCTCTTTTAAATAAATAAAAAAATATAAAGCTGAAGAGTTTGTTTGTTTGATCGAACGCGCTAATCTCAGGAACTACGGGTTAGCATAAAAAAATATTTTTGTGTTAGCTAGAGCATTTCTCGTGGAAAGCTATAAGCAATAAAACATCGCGGGAAATGTGGAAAAAACTTATTTATGCTTGTGTGTTTCAGTTGCGTACGCTGCGAAAACGGTTCAAAATGCCCAGAAAATATTTATAAAAGAATGATATATATTTAAATGATCTAAAAAGAATACAGTATATATATGTCTTTCTTATAAGAACTTACACGAACGACGGGACGCGGATGAAGTCGTTGGTAAAAGGTTAAATTTATAAAGTTGAACAGGAGGTTAGCAAAAACAAACTCGATACCCAAAATAACTACTCAACCAGTATATACATACCGTAACGACATCAATATATCTCAAGGTAAACTCAGAAAATTACGTTACTCTATCAACCCAAGCCTTTTTACTGGGCGTGGAGAAAATTAATTAGATTATCATTAAAAATTAATTCTATACAATTACAACTCGCGAAGGCTCGTTGGCTATGACGGGTCTTTGGGGAAATGGTAAATAATGTATGACTACTAAACAACGATGTCTGAGTACGATTCCCACCAGGTCAAACGTGTTTGACTAAACTAGACAATGAATGGGTATTAAAATATCTTCCTGGTCACAACCACCTTTCACAGATGGAAAAGTTTATAGTGACCTTTTTTAGTTTCAGTCTCCGGATCCGCTCTAACAAGAAAGAAGTCGTACACATTGAGTGCGTATTGATTTGAGAAGTGGTAGTAATTGAATTGACGTTCCTAAGTGTACCTAACTACCTACAAAAATAAACGATAAATTTGACAAGGCACAAAATCTCTCAAATTCTCAATAGAAAACATACCTTATATCCCAAAAGGTATTAAGAGGTGCCTCTGGGTTCCACATTTGGACCATATCCGGTTTGTGCAGGGCAAGCAGCGCGTCCATTGCCTCTTGAGATATTTCTCCCATATCGGTGTGATGGACTAGTGATACGAGACCGTTGATCAGCTCAGTAGTTGCAGACTGAATTTCTACTCCTGAACGACCTGGGTTCTGTGTTATAGAGACGTGCAAGATATAGTAACGCACAGAATAACTAGTTTTGTTTACTAACCCTAGTCATTCTAATTATGCTAAACATAGACTTTTCTCGCGGTCCTGCGAACTTTATAACCAAAACTTTTATGGCATTGATATTTGTAGTGATAGCTCGGAGAGATTTAAAAAGCAATATTTTGTTTGAACGCACTAATCTCATTATATACAATACAGAAAGTACACGCCTATCTTTTAAGATTAACTTGTTAAAAAGATGGGACACGACCGACATTGTGGGTAACACTCAAGGTGGAGGTTAAACAAATTTTGATGCCTTAAATAACAATCCTACGCAGGCGAAGTTTCTGTATAAGCAATTTATGTGGTCCGTTTATTTAAGAAATATTGTTTAATTAAATATTAAATAAGCCTGTTTGATTGTTAATACAAATAAATAAAGAACTTTCTATCTTGTAAAGGCTTTTGTGACAATTTTTTAAATCCTTGGGTTTATACCAGTGGATGATTTATTTATCTACAGCTTTAGAAAAAACCGTGAAAGCCTTACGCAATATTGTCCTTATTTTTCTTTGTGATGCATTAATTGAAATAAAAATATCAATTTACTATCTCCTTGCTAATCGTAAATAAAACCGTATTACTTAGCCATAAAGTTGATATTCCAAAAACATTTGTCAAATAACATACACTGAGCATCAGCATAGGGTCAGCGTGTATCAGCTTCACTAGATACAGAAGTAACGTCTTGTACACCGGTATCTCTTCTATCTTGCTTTCTTTCGCCTTGAGTGACAAGGATATCATGCGGAGCGGCGTATGCGCTATGTAACCCTGAAAATTAATAAAAACAAATATTATCAAATACGTACCTCAGCCACGTCTGACGTATGACGTCATCATGACTACATGTCTGTTTTTTGTGCTTTTATATGTCTAAGTCCAAAATCATTTACTCACGTAGGTAACTAGGAACAGTTATGACGGTCACCACCAGTTAAAACCTCTAAATTTTTTACTACAATATTATATAAGCATTATTTTTATGGACCACAATATTTTAGTGCTTTTACCCATTGACCCATAAAGACTATATACATAATCAATCCTCACCTGTGTAGCCTTATTCAAAGTGTCCGTGAACATAGCTCGTAACTCCGCTGCGCGAGGGTACAGCAGCTCAATTTGAGGCCACCAGGGCAAGCGGGGTTGGTTTATAATCCTACGAACATAAACATAACTTAGCTATTTCAGCCGTCGTATAGATAAATATTTTTAGACTCTTTCCCATTACTAGTGGATGATGTCATCAATAGATGTCGCGTCATGTCATCCACTCGTGATGGGAAAACGTCAAGACCTAGTTCTCTATTGAGACGGTCGAACAGCCGGATAATCCAAGTAGCTTTTCATAGTAGATGTAGCCTGGGGGGGGGGATCTACTCGGTTAACCAAGTTTCCAAATACTGAAGTAATATTCCCCCCCCCCCCAGAATCTGAACCCGGGACCTAAGGATCTGCAGACAAGTGCACTAACCATTGGAACAACAATACAGTTACATTGAACTTTAAATTTTAACAACTCCATTTTGGACATTTGGAATAGATTTTTATTCGGTGCACAAAGTAGCGTACCTTAGGAGTGAGTTAACAATAACAGAGTGATAGAAGCTGTTGCTGCTAAGGTTCAGACAGACTTTCATAGCGTCATTTGTGTGAGGCATAATCCTGAAGAGGGAGACGAAACAGTCGGTCATCAGGTCTAAATCGGAGTATCCGGGGTTGTAGTTGCTCCGGAAGAACGCCTTGGATGGATTGAAGAGAAGGGTCTAAAACATATAACACATAATTTTAAAACGGTCATTATATAATATTGTTCGTGTATTAAATACTATCTGTAGTTGACGCAAGTAGTTCACATCTTAACAAAACACATAAACGGTTTAAAACCCAAAATATATTAGATAAATTTATTTCCGATTACTTTACCTAGGGCGCGACGTTTCCGATGCTTTGCAGGGGCCGTCACGGGGTGACACGGAAAGTCTCGTAGTTAACATGATTTGTAAATAGATTTAACTAATATGTTTCGCGTTTTAAACCGTTAAAGTGGATGATTTTAATGTTTGTTTATTGGGAAATAAGTGGCTTTTTATGTCAAACTCAAAAGGATCTTCTGTGCTCTGTGCTTTTTAATTTTAAGAAAGAGGTTTTTGTGACCATCATTACTTTGTGGTTTTTGGGGTATTCGGACCACAATTAACTTGGTAAACAGAAAGATAATTATAGTCTAATGCATATTTTAATCACGCTTTTAATCTGCTTGGTTCTGTTTATTGAACTAACAATAATTTAAACAGTTTTTATGGACGAAAAGGTGTCCTGTACCTTAAACGTAATAAACTTAATAAACGTTAGTATGTTAAAAAATTAAATAAAAAAAAATTTAAGTAAGTGTAATTTTTTATCCTTACCTTTAAGTCATTAATAACAGATTTGACAAGCACAAAAGTGACATTTCCAGAGTCCGATATGTTTATGTACGTGGAGGCCTTGCAAAGTTTCACGCAAGTCAGTACAGCCGCTTCGGTCATCTGTTTTGAGTTATTTTGTGGGCCTATAAAAATATTATAAACCAATTTACAAGCGTTTTTTGATCATACTGAAAATTTTCTCTTTGATATAATAAATTATATTTTTAGGATCACAAGGTAGCTTAGTTTACACCTTGGGTTTAATTGAAATCTTTTTACATGCACACAATTTATAAAAAAAGTAAAGTTTATTTCCACCATTGACATAGTATATTGTATAAATTCAAATGTCAAAACGAATTCCAGTGATATATTAAATAAAATAAAAGTATATAGTAGGTTTTTTTAGTTAAAATAACTTAGCAATGAATAAAATAACTCACTCAGTCCTCTCTTTACAGCATCGATGAAGTGTTTTTTCTTTGAATGCCTTGGACTGCAGGGGGGCGCCACTGTCAGCGTTCACGATCTCTTCTAAAACTTTCTGTTGCAAAAGACAGTTAAATCTACCTTTTTTAGAACTAGGTATTATCTGTTTATCTTTGTCATGCAACTGTGTTATCACTACATATTAAGATTGTCCTTGTCACACAATGTTACTTAAGATTATGCATGAAAGAGACAACAATACTAATAAACAAAAGGGAGAAGAAGCTTCGTCATACACTAAAACAACGACTTTTATATACAAGAAATACTAAATTTTAAGTAGCGGCACGGATCTTTAGCGCTGAACGAATTCTGCGCAGAAGTAAAAAATAAGGTATCGAAGGGACGGAAGCAGGGCGCGGAGCGTGTGAACGTCGTGTGCGCGTGCGTCGATTGGTTCCCCAGTAGTGTTGTGTTTCTCGGACCACCATACAACGCTGCGCTTGCTTCTCGAGAACAGTCGCATTTAGAAAGTTATGTGTTACGTTAATATTAAGTTGTTGAAATTGTTAAACCTCGATTGTTAAGTATCTTTTTTTGTAAAATTAAAAGATAAGACAACGCAAAACATATAGTCATTACATAATATCCATTACTTGTACACATATTTGCATATTAGCCCCAACATTCAGCATTATATGTGATCATAAAATTATTAAAATGGTAATTTAAATTACTTTAAGGTCACAGTTATAATAAGAGATAAATATTTAATCGTTTTTTCAAATCAATTACGTGCGCGATTGTACCGATGTGCAATGCGTTTCTTTCAGGGGTAAACATATTTTTATGAAATTATTGGTATATTAAACCTTATGTTCATACTCACAGGGTTCAAAATAAGCAACATAATCTGCAATGGCCACATAGCGACCCGGGTTTTCTTATTCTCTGAATAGCTGTCTTGAAGAATATCGAAAAGTGTGTCGCAGCATTTACTGAGTTCGTCGTTAGGCCGAGATTGTACTTGCAGGAATTCCTAAAATAAGAAGGTAGATATAAAAAAAGTGTTATTCATTTGCGTTTTAAACAGTTAAAAATACTTAATTCAAAAAAGAAAAAATCTTTTGAAATGTTTAGTGCAAACTGGGTGTTGTAGTTCTATCGACTACAACTACCAGTTTTGAATAAAGCACATTTAATTGTTTAAAACGCTAATTATATAAGTTAAACTATTATTTACTAACTTCCAATATTATAAATTTCACGGCGTTTATGCCAATATAATGTTAGTAAGGACTGAGTCACGTTAAGCTTCAAACCTGTGGATAAGTATCCATCCAATTCCAGACAGCTTTTTCGAGAGACATCACTAAAACTATAGGCGTGTATTTTCTTAATAACTTAAACTTTTGAATACATTCTGCAAAAGACAGTGAACAGTTTATTAATTTAAAACTAAAACAGCAAACCAGAGACAATATCTGTAGACAAGTAAGGTAATAACATTTTAACACCAACACATTCCAATATAAGGAAAATATTGTATGAAAAAAAAAAAAGGGGAGGGGGGGGGGGGGGGGGGGGGGGGAAGGGAAGGGGGGGGGGGGGGGGGGGGGGGGGGGGGGGGGGGGGGGGGGGGGGGGGGGGGGGGGGGGGGGGGGGGGGGAGGGGGGGGGGGGGGGGGGGGGGGGGGGGGGGGGGGGGGGGGGGGGGGGGGGGGGGGGGGGGGGGGGGGGAGGGGGGGGGGGCCCCCCGAAAAAAAGGGGGGGGGAGGAGGGGGAAGGGGGGGGGGAAAAAAAAAAAAAGGGGGGGGGGGGGGGGGGGGGGGGGGGGGGGGGGGGCCCCCCCCCCGGGGGGGGGAGGGGGGGGGGGGGGGGGGGGGGGGGGGGGGGGGGGGGGGGGGGGGGGGGGGGGGGGGGGGGGGGGGGGGGGGGGGGGGGGGGGGGGGGGGGGGGGGGGGGGGGGAAGGGGGGGGGGGGGGGGGGGGGGGGGGGGGGGGGGAAGGAGAAAGGGGGGGGGGGGGGGGGGGGGGGGGGGGGGGGAAAAAAAAGAGTCATAGTGAAAACCTGATTTTGCCTTTAGGGCAAGTCCCTAGTGTGGAACATACACAGTGGGTCAGGTTAATTTATCCATAATAAATACAATAAAACACTTTATTGCACAAACACATAAAATACAAATATATTAATACAAAATTAATTATTTACATTAAAGAGTTAGTGCAAAGGTGGCCTTTCGTCCTTATCGCCTTTGGTGATTTCTTCCATGCAACCTTTGTATTAAGACGTAAGGAAAACAAAATAACAATAAACGAATAAAAGCCAACAAGAATGAGAGAGAAAATGCAATAAGATGTAAATTACAATGATATCAAATACTAACATAATAGAAAACGTTAACGTTATCCATATTGATTAGACCTTTGTGCCTTGCTTGATCGAAACTAGATATGTTTCAGATTTGAACAGGTTATATCTTCTCTTATGTGTCTAAATTTTCATACAGTTTTTGAATACTTATAGAGAATAGATAGTAATTAGAAATACCTGTGAAAAGCCGTATAAGCCTCAATATATCAATATTTATGTGTTGTATCAGCTCTATATCTATATAATCGGGGTTCTCATCTGAGCTAGTTGCGAGTTCCTGTAAAAAATTACACAATTTATTATCCATTTTAAGAAACAAAAAAAAAAAACAATTCTAATCAAATAATATATTGCAATTCAATTTCAATTGCTTTGCGAGAAAGTAACACCTTGAAATTGTTTGAAAACTCTAGTATTTTTAGTGAGATTTCCACGGGTGCTCCCATTATTGGCTTCTCATTCATAATTTTTTAATTTTTTGAAATATTTTTCATACAATAAAAGACATTGATGGTTTACGCAAATTGTTTGTTATTATTAAATATATAAATAGACTTACTTGTAATCTAGCACTGATTCTATTAAATACAGCATTAAAGAAATTTAAACTTAATGCAAATAAAACTTTGCTGGCCAACTGACGAAGCAGAGTATTATGAATGTTGGCTTCATTTCTTATATCTGAAAGGAAAAAAATACTATCACTTAATAGATCAAATATGTATCTAACAGAAGACTGTTACGCATAGTATTATGTTATTAAGCATTAAGTTAAGCAAACAAGGTCCTTTGTTCGAATCCAGGGGATACATTAAATTGTTTTATTTAGGCAGAGCACCAGGAGCCTGATCACCAATTTACATGCAAATAAAATTGATAAATGAAATGGGCAGAGAATTACAGCATGCTGTACAGCGAGAAATGGGATTCCACATTCCAGCCACTGAAATTTTATTGTATTAATATGAATGTAGTTTAACTGCTGCATTATAGAGAATATATCAATGTATGGGTTTCAGGCAAACCAACCAAATTGTGACCTTTTCCTTGTTATAGAGAATTTATTGCAATAGGGATGTTATAAAGAGTTTACACTGTATATATAAAGCTGGAATTAACAGTACAACGGTAGCTTATAGCTCACATACAACTATCATGTATATAACGGTCTTTAACTTAAACTTCTACTCAATAGTATAATAGTTAACATCTAACCTATAAACTGGCAGACTTCCCTAAGCAGTATCTTAACATTCATGGCTTCTTCATATTTGGCGGTGTCTTTCGGCTGAGAGCTAAGGCATATTTCTAGTGTATCTAAAACTATAACCAGGCTGTCGTGATAGCCCTTCTCGATTTCAGTTAGAGGCCTTGTGACGCATGTTCCTAGGGTGGGTTGGTACTGTAAGCATATACACAATTATTAAAATATATACTAATCTATTTAGATCATAGATGACATGCATGGCTTGTACTTATATCCATTGCAATTGGGCTATTTGGTTTTGCCCAGCCTTATCTATATGAATATTATAAAGCTGAAGAGTTTGTTTGTTTGAAGGCACTAATCTCAGGAACAGCTGGTTTGAATGAAGAATCCAAACAAACAAACCATGCATTTTAGATACCTTTTTAGTCCAGTAACTCATAGCCATGTACACTTACCAGCTCATTGACTCTCTGCAATATCTTAGTGAGGCCTGATATCACAAGAGAGAATCTATGCCTGCTGATCTGAACCAGGCACGCCTTGCACTGTTCTTCATTTATGCGGGAGTGAAGGTTTTGGGCACCAGTTTTGTATGGTAACTAAAATTATAATGGACATTATTGCGATTTCATAGTTAGTAATTTATTACGCAGCTCTGATAATTGAAATAATTGAAAAAACTTTTTTTTTTTTTCGTAAAGGACTACTGAAATTGTTGTGGGTGTGACCCCGCTGTAATATTTATGATTTAACTTTCTTATGAGTATTAAATAAGCATAAACATCCTAAAAAATATTTCTTAAATATATCAACAAGTTATACATATAACAAGTTTTCGAAACATATCTACCTAAATGTTTAATAATTCATAAAAAGAAGTGAATATATAATTAAATATTTATTTTTATCTTACTTGTTCTTCAAATCTTGCAATGAGAGTGTTTGCCCATTCTCCCGGCTTCTGCGTACCCATTTTTCACATGAAATTACGTATTTCTTCATTTATTTTAAATTGTTACAAATAAAAACATTAACCCACCCCGATCAATTCCTTTAAGCCGTCGGCATTTGACAGCTTAATATTGATGAGGTATATCAACTGTCATTATAAAGCGTTAAAAGCTCGCGGAAAATTATTGGCCTATAATTTAATTAAGTAACGTTTCATTCAATATTTTTTAATTTAATAAAGTTTCTTTGTTAAAAGATATATTTACAATATTAACATTTCAAGCTGTCTTTTAAAAAATATATTTCTTTTATTTAATATATTTCTATATTACGTTATCTGTGCTAATCAGTACTATAATGCCATCTGTCAATGTCACATAAAATAATAAATCATCTTTCTTTCACAAACAAAAAACTTTTGCTCCACTTGTAGTTTAAAGAATTGGTGATATTTTTTTACTTATAATACGCATTGTTAATAATTACCCTTAAAAATCTAAATTTTCACCTACTTCGATAAGTTATACTGATTGTATACGTCTGCACAGTGTCTTTATCAATATGATGGTAAGTTTTCTTTTTTGTGCAGAAAAACCGGGGGGCGTTTCTCTCACTCCAATAGGAATTATATTGCAAATACTATACGTGTTTTGTTTTGCATAATCAATAATTTTCATTATTATTAATTTTTCACACTGTGTTTACTTTGATTTATTCAATAATGTACTTAAGTGCTCGATTAAAGTGACGTGGATTTTCTTTTAGCAAGGTATACCGCTACTTAAGTCAAAAAATATGTTTTTACAACTAATTAGTGTTCATTTACCTCTCTTGCACATTTAGGACTAATGAGAATATTCAATGATAGTCTGGAAAAACGAAATCGGGGATTAATAGTTCACAAAATTGTTCTAAAGTATCATTATGTTAATGGTAATACTATTCTGTTTTCACTGTAAAATATAAATATTTAAATACATTTCAATGTTAAATAAGATGTGTTTATATCAGGATTGTGTTGAAGAGACTACCAATGATCCCCTCACAGCTCCGATCTCATCTCCATCATCAGGTGACTCTGCTATAGAAAAGAAAAAGCCAAGTGAGAATGTGTCATTAGCTGATAATAGCCTACTGGTTAGTCATCAGTGTTTTTGACACTGTTGTTTATAAGTCAATTCTTATCTATGTTATCTGTTTCTTTAGATATAGATGCTTAATTAAAGATATGTTTACTTGTGTTCTTATATGATCACAAGTTAATATTAGGATATATTCTTTAGTCTATATTAATTAACTTTAACTGTTTAAAACATGATATATATTAGTTGTTTGATTTTTTTTATCTTCAGCACATATCTAATATATAGCGGGTTTTAAATTGTTAAAGTAATTTATTTAAATGTGTACTGCATACAGACAATATTTATGTTCTTTAGTCTAATTTTGATAAATTAGATTTTCGTTTATATAATTTTGAATCATAGTTTAATATCCACTAGAACTTTTGAGACTGCAGAATTGTAGATGTTATTATTCTAGCAAAATTCTTGGTCTATTCTATGATTCCAAAGTGAGTACTACTTCTGTTGAAAGTCAATTAAAGGTAGTCCATTATTCCTTCTATTTTTTTTTGTAATGAAAGAAACATTTGCAATTGGTAAGTATTTCATGTCGCAGTCAAATGTTTAATCTTCTCTACAGGTAGATATATCAGATGCACTAAGCGAAAAGGAAAAAGTGAAGTTCACCGTTCACACAAAAACAACGCTACCTGAATTTCAAAAGTCAGAATTTCTGGTGGTCCGTCAGCATGAAGAGTTTGTCTGGTTGCATGATAGATATGAGGAAAACGAAGAATATGCTGGTTATATTGTGAGTTTTTATTATTGTAGAAATTAATATAAGTCCAATCTGTCACCGTAAAAGTAATACAGAAAGATCACTTACTTGCCTATATATAAAAAGTATTTATAACAAGAATACTTGTCTGTGTATTGGCATTATTATTATCTAAGCTTTTTTTTCTTATAAATAAATGAAAATAAAATAAGAAGGTGTAAATAACTATTAATTAATTATGAAGTAAAAGATGTATCTACAATATTCTCAAAAAATAAATTTATCGCTGAAGGAAACCATATAGTATGCTAAAGTTGTAGTCACAGAATATTTTGAGTAGAACCAAGTATATCTTACATGGCTGGGGTATGATTACCCCCATGAAACACCTCCAACTCCATGTGGTGTTAACTATTTTGCGTGTTTAATACCAGATTCCGCCAGCCCCTCCTAGGCCTGACTTTGACGCTTCCCGGGAGAAACTCCAACGGCTTGGGGAAGGAGAGGGAGCTCTTACTAGAGAAGAATTTCTTAAGATGAAAGAAGAGTTGGAAGAGTGAGTATTCATTAATGAATACTAATAATTTATATTTATTTGATTGTAGTACCAGGTACTATATATAGTAGGACCCCAAGCCCTGGGGAGAAAATATTTTAAATTCGTTAATTACTTTATAATTAATATTATCATGGATAGATAAATCTTTTTAATATGTAGTTATTAGTCAATACTAAAATAACAAGTCTTAATAATATTCTATGTTACTTATTTTTTATTTATTTACTATACATATTAAAAAATAGTATCGTAACGAAACGCTGGGTCGTATTTCCAATACATAAAAAATAAGTTTAATTATACATATTTCGGGTTTTAAACCGTTCAAATTATTTTATTTAAATTGCACTATTTGCGTAAATTATAGACAACACTTAATGTGATATTTTTGAAAAGAATTCAAAACTGATAAATCATTTTCGATATTTAAAACATATGTGACTTTTATAGTGTTTTAAACCGTTAAAGTGTATATATTTAAACATTTTTTTATTTTTTAACACTGAATGGTTTATAACGCTTTATATATAGCAGAATCTAACTAAATAATTGTCTATTTCCTAATAGCGAATACCTCGCTACATTCAAGAAGACAGTGGCCATGCACGAGGTGTTCCTTCAGCGATTGGCCGCGCATCCGGTCTTCAGGAAGGACGCTCATCTACGCGTCTTCTTAGAGTACGAGCACGATTTGTGCGCAAAGCCAAGGGGGAAGATGGATCTCATCGGAGGATTGGTTAGTGATATACTTTGAGCTAAATCAAGTATATGGAAAATTTTAATATTTTTCTAATTTTATTGGTCAAAAAATCGAGTCATTTGATTTAAAAAAATGATGATTCCGTGGTGTTAGACTAACCAATTGTGCTATGGATTCAAGTTCCGCCTGTGTAGTAATTTTTAAAATCTAAAATCGATTTTTAATCTAAACCAAATGTATTAAAAAAATCATAATTTATACCTTATATATGCTTTGACATTAATTCAGTAAATTAGTTATAAATAAAAATAGGTTTTGTTTATATTGAAGAAAAGATATTAAAAAGAAATTTAAGCATAATTTTTCTCGTAATTATAACTTTACCAAATGTACTATGTATTTATTTTAGAATAGATGTACTATTTGAAAAGTTGTTTTAGGTAGTATATATACTTAATCTGCTTCTTACTAGGTATTTTGTCCTACTTAAAATCGTTATTGTTTTTTTTATTTATTTTAGTTATTTTTGAGCCTTCAATTTCTTCAGGTCCGCTCAATGACTACAACAACAGATGAAATATACCTAGGCGCGACGGTACGCGATGTGAACGACTTCTTCGAGCAAGAGACATCGTTCCTCCAAGAGTACTATTCGCATTTGAAGGAGGCTGTGACCAAAGTGGACCGTATGACGGCCAAACATAAAGGTAGGAGGTCCTAGGTTAAAATTTCGAATTTTGTTAAAAAATGTTTCATTTAAATATTTCTCGTTATGTTTTTGTCTATATCAGATGTGGCAGACGCTCATATAAAACTATCGTCGTGCATAACTCAACTGGCGACACGGGAACAACCGCCCACTGAGAGGTTCCTCACACGAGCTGCCGACACCTTTGACAAATGCCGGGTAAGACAAAGAGGAGTTGTTAGAAAAGAAATATTCATGAATTTCGACCTAAGGGGGGGGGGGATATTTTGCAAGAGATTTTTATTCTGCAGTCTAAATGAAGGAGCCATTTTTAAAATACCATAACACGAAAGAATAAAGTTCACTTGATGTAAAGTGAAATACCCTAGCCAATATTCGATGACATGAAGGATTCGGCAGCTCAAGTGGTTTGAGCAGCAACACAACGCTGTGGATAAGTTTTCGAATATTTTACAGAAAATCGAAGGGCGCATGGCGTCTGATCAGGATCTGAAATTGGCGGACACACTCCGTTACTATATGCGGGACACGCACGCGGCCAAAGCTGTGCTAGTCAGACGGCTAAGGTAAGCCATATTAAGCCATAAGTATGGCTTGACCAAATAGCAACAGCTACACATTAGTCTGTTTGTACTTGCTGAATCTTCTGTAAGTCAATGCAGAACATTCTGCATACAAAATGCAAGTCAAAACACTTCTAGGTTTATACGCAAAATATAGTTTTACATTATTTACTAAAACCGACTTTTAGATTCACATATTATATCAACTTATAAACCATTAAATGCTATTTAATAAAAAAATATGTAAATAAAACACTTTGACGGTTTAAAACGCGAAATTTACTAGTTAAACTTATTGGAAAAATATTGTAACTACGGCCCGTCGCTTCCGACGCTTTGCAACAGACGTATTCACGGGGAGACTAAAGATGGAGGGACTAATAAAAACTGCTACGCCAGCGCCATCTGTTCCGTCGTTGTTCTTATTTAGCGTTAAAATAAATTATAAATAGTAATTTAATTTCTCAAATAATACAGATGCTTGGCCGCGTACGAAGCTGCAAACAGGAATCTCGAACGCGCCAGGGCGAAGAATAAGGACGTCCATGCTGTAAGTATTCGTGTAATTCACAAAAAATCACGAATACGTTTTTTTATATCTGCGTGAACGCACCATTATGTACCTTGTCAATTAAAGTGCCGTTCAAAGAGACACAGAGGTTCTTCTGCTATACTGACGTTATCCTTGGGTATTTCGAGCTGATCAGTCGTGTCTACTTTTCGATTACGACGACCAAACGAAAACCCAAATGGCATTCCGAAATTGCTGCGAAAGCCATAAACAATTTACAATTTTGACGTTTATGATTTAGATCGATAGAAAAATTTGGCAAAAACCAATATTACATTTCGTTGACATGTTTTGAAATAAGGCAGTTTAATTCACTAGCATGTTTTTATTCTTGCAAGCCGATGGAAGTTCAAGAGGTATGCACGCTTTTAACTCACCACTTTCACACACATTCTCACACACCAAACAAACTATATACGATATATATTCCCCGCATCCAAAGGCAAAATAGATCGACAGCGCATCTTGTTGTATTTCAGTGAACTTGTCTGTCCTGTATACAGGAGTATATTAAAAAAAAAATTACGGAAAAAATGGGTTGATAGTAAGGCACTTCTATGTTATTAACATTATAGGCGGAGCAAGCGCAGTCCGAAGCATGCGCAAGATTCGAACAGCTCTCGGCGCGAGCTAGGGAAGAGCTCATCGACTTCAGATCTAGGCGTGTCGGTGCTTTCAAGAAAAGGTATTTTTTTTTGACAGTTGAAAACCCTCAGTCAAAACTGTATTATTTTTTTCAATTAAAAAAAAAATAATTAAAATCTAACTATAGATAGTCCATTTCTGTTCTATCTAACTTGTTGGTATTTTTTCAGCCTAATTGAGTTAGCGGAATTGGAGATAAAACATGCGCGGGCGCAACAGGAACTTTTCAGAAAATCACTCCAAATGCTAAAGGAGTGCCAATAAGTGGACATTGTATAGAATTATAGATATTTTTATTACATATTGCTTATCGTATATATACGCCATTCGTTTTTGCAATATTATTTTATATTATAAACAGTGCATAGTTTATTTCATATAAGAATACTTTATGTGTTTTGTTTTCTCAATAAAAATTGTTAAATTCGGTTTTTTATACGAAGTAGGCTCTCTTTTTGTTGGAAACATTCCTATATTATTGAAGGCTCTATCAAAGTCTTGAAAAAAGGCAAAAAAGAAACATTCGCGCGAAATATATTATAATTCAATAAAACGTTTCGTTGTATATTATTATAATAAGTACGTAAATAAAACGAACATTTTAAATATTTGAACTACGTTAGACATTTTCAGTGTTTTTTTTTATTTTTTGTACATTACTAAATGTTTTAATATTCTTTTTGCAATTACTAAAGTTCAAACTTGTTACTAATATAGTAATTTTGTAATTCTTTATCCTACAGATTTAGTTAAGGATGCTACAAACATAACAATTATTGATTTGATTATTTGTATAAGTGTTGGCTGAATTATTAAATATTTATTAGATAACGTTACAGATTTATGTAGCAACTTCAGTAACAGTCTTGTCTGTTTGTAGCAGCCTTAAGCGATCGAGTTGATAAACATTGTCCTCCCCAAATAAAAGACAAGAAATGTGAATGTGTATTGTTTATCGTGTTTAATATTTTTTTATAAAAAACTATCTTCTTGTATTCCAATTGTTTTGGCCAAATAAGTATTGTAAGTTATGATTTTTGATTATAAGAGATTATACGAATTTGACTTCTTTTATTCGTTATCGTTGTTCTTTTTAAGCGATTCGTATATGTATGGTCGCGTTAACTTGGTCGCTTATGGACCGATTTTAATATTTCTTCGTTGGATGATTATCAAGATAACCAGGGTGGGACAATCATAGATCAGAGATCGAGGGGAACGATCAATACGTTTTGTTTATTTTAAGTTTGAAGAAGGCAAAGAAGCACGAGTTTCACTTGATACAAGTTAAGTTGCCGACCTATTTTGGCTTTGATTATTCGGAAATATATAAACTATGAGATAAACTTGTTCACCTGTGGGCGGTAGTTTGTATCTGGACGGAATTTCGACATTCACACCATTCCGTTTTAGAAAAATAAGATTAGTAATTAAATGATTTTAAAAAGATGTTAGACCCGGTGGGGATAGAATCCACGACCTGCTGATTATTAGACTTATATTGCTACCATTATACCATTTTAATGAAAACACTTTAACGGTTTAAAACGCGAGATATTAGTTAAACTTATTTGAAAATGATTTTTAACTTCGGCCCGACGTTTCGGATGCTTTGCAGCAGCCGTGGTCACGGGGAGACTAAAGATGGAGGGTGTCTGACGTCAAAGTAAAAATCGCTACGCTAGCACCATCTGTTCCGTCGAAGTTGGTATTTGGCGAAACTGGCCGGGTCCTTACAGGACAATACCAATTTCAAAAAATTCATTTTCATATAAGTTTAACTAATATATCGCGTTTTAAACCGTTAAAGTGTTTTATTTAAATGTGTACTACTCGCGTAAACTATAGACAGTATTTACCATTATACCAACCAGCCCGTGAACTTTTTTTAATCCAGCACTTTAGGACACTGCTGTTTAATTAAGTTTTGGAGTTAATCTGATGATGGAGATGAGAGACAGTCAATAGAACTCCTCAACAATTCATAACAGCAATATTCTGTTTATGTAGAATTAACTGTTTGCAGTCGGTTATTTCTCGGTAAGAAATATTTTGAAGAGGGTAATAAAACGAGTGTTATTGTTTTAACTATTCTTTAAACCATTAACAGGAAAATTTGGAAAACAGTCTAGTCTGTTTTCCTTTAAATTTAATTAGATTTATTTAAACTGCGTTATTTTTTCGATGGTCCGGAGTTCTTATTCTGTCTGAAACAAAAGAAACAATTTATTTTGATACATTCACTGCTGCAAACTTAGAAAACATTTTTTCTTATCATACATACCTGTTAAGGCACGGAAAGTCCCAAAACCTCTGATCTCTTCCATAATCTTCACCATCTTGTATTGTCTGTGGCATATCCTTGCCCATGGACTCGGGAAGTCCTAAGCAGAGACAACCACCCACGATTCCTATAGCGCCCAAGATTAGGAGGGGAATTTCTGGCGCTATGGTTGCCTGGAATAAAAGTCTTCCTTTAAGAACCAGAAACAAGTAAAGAATGTTTTAGCGTGTATTTACCATTTAAACCACCTATGAAAGACCCGAAAAATACCTTGCCCAAAATTAATCAAATGCTCGAAGTCGCCCGTATTTTAAAAAGAGTTTTTCTAAATTGGTTTAGACGTTTGGGCGTGAAAGGGTAAACGTCTTATTTCACCAGGGTTTTATTAGATATAAGTTACAATTGTCAAATGGCTTTTTTAGGGTATACATATTCAAATTAGGTACCTATTACACTATATACGGTCTCATTGGTATAATTGTAGCGATATACGGCTAATAATAGTCAGTGAGTCGTGGATTCGAACCCCACCGGTTCCAACATTCATATTATCAATTTATAACTTTTCTGTAACATGTTGGACTTCTTTTGGAAACCTCGGTATTAAATATTACGGATTCTAGAAAAAGATTTATTACGGGTCGTTTATATGGCTGGAGTATTTCTCCTACCATCAAGTTATACGGTCAAAGTGTTTTATTTATACAGTAAGGATATTTTTTATGATAGAGCAGGACAGATGAGCATGTGGTTCGCTTGTCTGTCCTGATCTGTAAAAAAATATGATATGATATAAATGAAACACATTAACAGTTTAAAACACCTTAGCCGTGCCGTCTCCCCGTGCTGCACAAAGCATCCGAAACAGATAAGTTTAACTAATATGTTTCGCGTTTTAAACCGTTAAAGTGTGTTATTTAAATATGTGTTGCTATGTGTAAATGTGTAGTACCAAATACACTATGTAAGGGACGAGTATAGTAGCGACGTATCCGGTAATGTGAATGAGCGCTAAGCCCTGCGCACGCACAACAGTTGGTAATATTTCCGCTGCGTACTGCATGCCGATATTGAAGGATATGTTAACCGCGAATCGTCCTACTATCGCCAATGATGCTGATGGAAGACCTGTAAAGAACACTAAATAGATGTACTCTGTAGCCGATGGGCTGTTCTTAATCTACACTAATATATACAGCTGAAGAGTTTGTATGTTTGAACGTGCTAATCTCAGGAACTACAGGTTCGAATTGAAAAATTATTTATGTTGCTTACAACATTTATTGAGGACGGCTATAAAACATATCGCTGTGACTAATAGGAGCGAAGGAACAACTGGAAAATTCGAAAAAACTGAGAAAATTATTCATACTTGTGGGTTTCTATTGCCTTCGCTGCGAAAACGGTTCGAGATACCCAAAAAAAATATATGAAAGAATGATTTCTCTTTAAATGATCTAAAAAAAGTCCGCGACTCTATATGCCTATCTTTTAAGATTAACTTGCAAGAACGACGGGAAGGGACGCGACCGACGTTAGGTAACTTAGAAAGGTGAACAAAAACGAATTTGGATGACCAAAATAACAATTCGCGTGGACGAAGTCGCTGGCACAGTCAGTACTAATATATAAAGAAAAGTTTGTTTATTTGAACATAATAACCTGGGGAACTACTGATGCTAATCGGTTTTTTTTCTCTTGGTTGGACCATTTATCGAGAAAGGCTTTAAAATATCAGGCAGCCACTAATAGGAACAAACAAACAGTGGAAGATGTTTATTATATTTATAACTTACCAAAAGGCACCGTAGTGGCCAGAAAACTGAACAATCCACTCAAGACCATTGAACCAAAAGCCAGCCAGCGTCGCCCAATACTGAAATATGTAAGAATTAAATACGGTTCATTTAAGTTTTAGTCTCACATGATACCTTTACATTTTTTTTTCAAAAATTACCTAACATCAATATGTTGTATTGATTGATGTACTAATGGTACCCCTCCCAAAAGTTTTATATATCATTTATTTTACTGACTGTCAATTGGTCAAATGGTAACGATGTATGCTATTAAATAATCAATGGCTCGTGGCCGTAGATTCGATTCCCACCGGGTGCATCTGGGAAAAGGTTCGGACCAAAGACACCCTCCATTTTTAGTCTCCCCGTGACCACGACTGTCGCAAAGCATCCTAAACATCGGGCCATAGTTATAATAATTGCCAAATAAGTTTAATAATATATCGCCAAATAAAACGTTAAAGAATTTTTAATTACATGTGTACTAATCGCGTAAACTACAGACAGTATTTTATTTTAATTAAATGTAATCTTAAATAATCATAAACATCCTATAAACTTTCTATTATATTATATTTGTCAGTGAATATTTTTTTTTATTATGTATGAGAAAATACTTACATGTCCAAAGTGAGTATCAGCAAAATGTCAGCAGGAAACTCCGTTGCCGTCGCAATCGTGAAGGTAACAAACATGTCCAATCCCAGAGAGCCAACGTTCCTGACGTGGCCGTCGAAGACCATGGCTATCGACATCCATATCACCAGTAGGAGCAGGCTGTGACGCCGAAGACGAGGTGACTTAAAGAGGTCCATGAAGGAGTAGTTCTTGAGATCTTGCTCGGCTTTCGCTAGCTCTGTTGCTGTGTCCTGAAAGCCATAGAAATCTGATTGAAGTAATGATATTATGTGATACTATATAACTTATATTTTAGGATTAAGTGTCTTTTTGAAGGCCGATTTCTGGATACATCGTTAAGCAGAAATACTAAACAATCAAAAAAAAACTGATTTGAATTAAACAGTCTTGTACAGGCTTTTAATTCTCATTAATTTAACATTTTTATTTCTAAGTCAAAAACAGCTATTTTACTTTCGTCCACATACGGCGTACACATTTATTTATTTATATTATAACGCTTAATAATTAATTTGTTTGATCGCGCTAATCTCAGAAACTACTGGTTCGAATTGAAAAATATTTTTGCATTAAATATACCATTTATCGAGCAAGGCTTGACTATAAAATATCAGGGTAGGAACAAACAAAAGATATGTGGATTTTTTTAATAGTTTCATTAGTGCCAGTTTTAGTTATTTTAGCATATGTAGCTGCCATTACCCTGAATTCCTTAAGAATTTCTTCTGGAATTTTTCTGTTATTTACACGTTCGCATTTCTGTATAATTTTCAGCGCTTCGTCTATCCTGCCTTGCGATATAAGCCACCTGAAATCAAAGTATTTGGGGATCTTAATTCTTGTTCCAAACGCGACTTAAGCACAAAATTCAACACTTGTCAATTTTCATAAAAGTATGGACCATATTGATTACGGACTATTTGGTCCAAAACTAAGTGGCTATGACTGATAATCGTGCGAAAGCTTTATTCTTTTTGAGGTACAAGATGGAACTATATAAATCGAAAATCTATTTGGATTAAAAAAAAATACGACACGGGCAGAACTCGAACCGGCATCAACAGCGTGCCGTGCTGTTACTTTAATCAACAATTTACAACACGGTAGCTCAATTGTAATCGTGCGTTAATTCCCAATTCCATTCCATATTTAGAATTAATTCTTCGTGCAGTCGAGGAGCTAACATCTGATGATGCCGTCACCACGTGATGGCGAAACGTCGAGAACCTCTTCTCGTTTACGTCAGCCGAACAGCCAGAAGAACAATGATATGCTGAACGATGGCCTTGAAAGCCTTACACAACATGGTTTACGTAAACATATGTTTATTTACCTAGCGCTCTCCGGTACGACCCACGGCGTTAAGATCGATAGTACCAAAGGTGTACTTGTGATCAGCGTGTATATCCGCCAATCAGCCACTGCTAGAGCGATCCACGGCAGTAAGCAGGCAGCGAACGTAAAGTAGACAGCGATCGACATATTGGCGACGAACGTCCGCCATTTCGGTCCCACGTACTCCACCACTAGAAGAAAAAGAATAATACAGATACGCAGTAAAGAACTTAAGTTTTTCTACATTTTTACTTGGTTTTATAGCGCACATTCTAATCGAATCGTTTTTATTTAAATAAAACACATTGACGGTTTAAAACGCGATATATATTCGTTAAAGTTGTTTGAAAATCATTTAACCACGGCCCGTTTCGGTGCTTTGCAGTAGTGGTCACGGGTCAAATTCTTCTTCCCATTTAACTAATATATATCACGTTTTGAACCGTTAAATTGTTTTATTGAAACGTGTAAACTACAGATAGTATTTAAAATTTATTTAGTTTTTTTTGGAGCGCTGTGGGTTCCGGTTTAAGTCCCACGCGTGACTTAATTTTCTTTCAACGTAAAATTTGATTTTTAATTTATACAATTATTTGATATAAGCTGAAGTTTAAAATTGTTTGTTGTGTGTGAAATAAATAATTTGAGTTTATTTCGAATAAAAAAAAATATAGTCAGAAATTGAGTCCACCATTACGATGCACCGTTCTTTTGCATCTCTTGTACTTTCATTGGGTATTATCTAACAGAACTCACCAACAATATACATGACCATAAAACAGTTGTCATAAGCTAGTCCAACCAAGAAACGGCAGAGGCAGAAAGACCAGAAGCTGTTGGTGAAAGCTGTTCCCACTCCAGCTATAAAACCCGTCATGTTGGTGCCTGTTGAAGAAAATACTTCAAATAAACATACATACATTACATTGAGTTATTTACAGGAATTAAACAAGAAATCTATACTACTATTATAAATCTTATTATAATTAAGTTTGTTTGTATGAACGCGCTTATCTCAGGAACTACTGATTCGAAATTACTTTTGTGTTGGTTGGTTGAAATTTAGGGTAAAAAACATCAGGCTCCGATCAATAGAAGCGAGTAACAAAGAGAAATGTGGTAAAAATGGGGAGAATTATTCAGTTAAGGGATTCAGATGCGAGCGTTGCGTAAAAAGATGTATAAAAAATGACTGCGGCAGTGTGTGTCTATCTTTGTAAACTTTATTATTATTTTTACATGTTATTGCACATGAAGGCACTATATAATTTGAAAATAGAAAATAAATTAAAAAAAAATTCCCAAGTTAAAAATTTCTTCAATTTATTTTCGCTTAAATTTATGTGTCTATCTTTTAACATTAACTCGCAAAAACTCGCACACAGGCGAAGTCGCGGGCGTAGTTAGTCATTTATAATTTATAAACATCAGAACGCTATATCAATTAAAAAGGCTTATTTGAGGAAGCGAAACTATTGTACAATAAAAACACAAATTTCAAGAACGCTGTTCTTACCAAGTATGGCCGGTATTCGTCCATATTTATCAGCTATCCACCCGAATATCAAGCCACCAACTATGGCGCCGCAGAAAAATACCGCTTGCGCAGTTGCTGGGTAGTTGTCTTTTTCGCATACCCACCCCAACTGTAAATTAAGAAAACTCAAAAGTGTTTTATTTAAATATATACGAAGCAACGAACGCTGTGGATGCCAGTTCAGATGGCGATTTCCACTATATATATATATATGTCGTGTACCTGTGTAGCAATAGTTTCATAAGGCACATCAGTAAAATTAAACTCCCATTTTCCATCACACTTCTTTGTCGGCCATGTTTTAGGTTCGAGATCACCACTGGTAAGAACCGTTTGCCAGTCGACGTCGTAAACAATACATTTCTCGTATTTACCTTCAGTCCGCGGTATTGCGATATGACGGCTGTAAATAAAAAATGGAGAAAAGATTGAGTTAATATATTTAATACGTTAAGTTTGAACACTAGGTTGTAGGAATATAGAAAATTCCGTCTTGCTCACGAACCACCGTCATATAAAAAAGCCACCTCATCGATTTAAATAATAAATCACTTTTTTGGCATTTATTCGTTAAACTAAAAGAAAAGCGATTACAAAAGGGTTAACAACAGCATATGTTGCAGCACAGCTACAGTTACAAGCTATTCAGCAAAACCTTGCTGTTCGTTTATAAGTCAGATTGCAAACTTTAATGTTTTTTACATGTTGTTTCACATGAAGGCACTATATAATTTAAAAATCGAAAATAATAGAGCAACCGCACGGAAGGCTGACGATGTACCGGTATCAAGTCCTGCCCGAGTTAACATTTCTGGTTTCAGTCTGTGCATTTCGTATATTTAAAGGCAAAATAGGTCGACAGTGCGTCGTGTTAGATTTTACACAGCCGGGGCATTTTGCTTCCCATCATGTCAACCCCATGTTTGTCTATCCTCTATCATAGAAATAAAGATAATATGTATAGGTAATTCTCCCAATTTGTATAAAACGCTGTGTTTTGGTAATTGTAGTATCCGCTTTATGTTCGCTGTTACTAACGAGAATAACAAGTTCATTAAATATTGTAAGACTCTATTATTGTCCATTTATTTTACTATCTTTGTTTTTCAAAGATCAATAAAGCCTTCTGACGTCACAGTCTATTTACTCCGGTTTATTGGGGAAACAATCAATACCTCATGTAGACAGTCATTTATTTATCTTTAATTTATGTTTGCAATTTGTGACACATGTATTAGTGTTTATATTTAATCCTAACATTATCAAGTCCATGTCACAGGTGGTAATTAAACACGCGACACACAGAAATAGGTACACGTTGGGCTAGTTAGTCGAATGGTAGGAATATATCTATACTTATATTATAAAGCTTTTGTTTGTTTGAACGCGCTAATCTCTGGAACTACTGGTTCGAATTGTAAAATAACTTTTGTGATGGTTACATTATTTATGGAGGAAGGCTTTAGGCGTTACATTAGGCTGCGAACAACAGAGGCGAAGAAACGGAAAGCAATGTGGAAAAACGGTATCCGTTGCGTGTGTTGCGAAATCGGTTCGAGATGCCTAAAAATATGTAGGTGTTATAAAAGATGTGCCAAAACTATAAAAGAATTATCTTTCTTTAAACAATCTAATAATATGTCCATATTACCACCTATAAATGTCTATCCTCTCATAAATATAAAAAAAACACACCTAATGAGTCTTTTTTTCTAAAACGGTTTCGACGATGTTTGAACTCAAGAACTTAAGACACTAAACAACACCGAGTCTCCCCGTGACCACGGCTGCTGCAAAGCATCCGAAACGTCGGGCAGAAGTTAAAAATCATTTCCAAATAAGTTTAACTAATATATCGCGTTTTAAACCGTTAAAGTGTTTTATTTAAACACTTCATATTTGATTCATTACCGCATTTCAACGCTAAAATTTGCCAATTCCGGTACATAACACCAATGCTCTGCCGGCACCACGGTCATGAAGATCTGGGAGAAGTAGACGAACGCGAAGAAGAAGGAGTACGGTATCATGAGGATGAAGAGCATACGCTGGTACCAGCCGAAGTCGCCTATGTACGGGAATAGATCGTCCAAATCTCTCAGTTGTTTGCGTACTGTTCCTGAAAATGAAACAATTTTCTAACTATTGTCTGTGCATACCGCGAGTAATACATATTTGAATAAAACAGTTTTAACGCTTTAAAACAAAATAAATAAAAAATCTGTTTAAATAAAACACTTTAACGGTTTAAAACGCGATATATTAGTTAAAATTATTTAAAAATGATTTTTAACTTCGGCCCGACGTTTCGGATGCTTTGCAGCAGCCGTGGTCACGGGGAGACACGTGGTCTCTCAACTAATATATCGCGTTTTAAACCGTTAAAGTGTTTTATTTAAATGTGTACTACTCGCGTAAACTATAACTAAAAAATCTGTTGTTCATAATGCATTACTAAACAATTTCGAGTTTCAAACCGTTAAAAGTGTTTTATTTAAATAAAATTTTCTTAAAAATGTATATTAGTGAATGCTTTCATCACATTTTTTTTCAAAGATACATAGACATGTAACATCCCCCGGGGGGCATTACTTCCTTTTGCCATGTCTGATTTCTAAAGGTAATTGTTACCTTAAAGCACTAATTTTGAGGCAGATACCCCCGATTAAAGTGATTTTTTTTATTCCAGGATTCGAAGCTTGGACCTTCGTCTATTCATATGTAACGCAATACCACACCATGGGAATGGCTAGTCCCATGGTGTGGTATTGCGTACATATGAGAGAGATAACAATATACTGATAATAATATAAAATTACCATTAGTTTGCATTTCCTGGTCGTCGGGTCGGCCAAGGACCGCGCCCGACATTGTGTCTTTTTCATGTGATTCCATTTTCGAAGTCCGTTTTGGCTCTAAACGACACTTTTCCGGACGTTTTTCTTGTTACTTGAAGCGGAATTGAGAGCGCTTATCTGAAACAAAAAAAAAACAAGTTAAATTCGAATAAAACAGTGAATATAGGTGGACAGCATACAGTAGTTTAACGCGAAATAAATTAGTAACTTATTTTTTCTATGACTCATCGTAACGGATGTTTTCCTATCGTGGTTACGGGTGTTAAAAATAAAAGTGTTTCATTGTTTACCACTCAACAGTGGCGGTTGATAAATTTGCAATTTAATATTTTCATAATTTTCTCAATCGAATCTAAATAAGATTTTTAGGGTTACATAACAAAAGAGTCGGAATCTATCTATCTATATATACTAATATATAAAGCTGAAGAGTTTGATTGTTTGAACGCACTAATCTCAGGAACTACGAGTTCGAATTGAAAAATTATTTTTGTGTTAGTTAGAGCATTTATCGAGGAAGGTTATAGACTATAAAACATCGTCCTGTAACTAAGCGGGGGACATGTCACAGAAATTGGGAAAATTATGGGTTTCCGAGGCATACGCTACAAGTACGGTTCAAGATACCAAATAAATGTGTATGAGAGAATGATTCCTCTTTAACTTATCGTTTAAGAATAGCTTGCAAGAACGACGGGAAGGGACGCGATCGACGACGTGGCTAATATCTTTATGAAGATGATAGGGTTTACAAAACCTAATTTGGATGCCCAAAATAACGATTCTCGCGGACGAAGTCGCTGGCACAGCTAGTTACATATAAAATGGCTCAAAAGCAAAGATTATAACATAGATAGTCGAGTGATATTTGCTTTGTCTTATCAGTTTTGACATATTTAGTCTCATTCTAGATGAACTTACTGGGTTAATGAGGCTAAAATTGCTTAATGAAGCTACAAACATTCATACAACATTACAATTTGCAAAAAAATACCTTGAAGTACAGATAGAAAAACTAATAATAAGGCAGCAAAAAATCGATCACATACACAAATATAGCATGTACCTATGTCTATTTTCAGGTATCATGTGCTAGAACATGTAAAATTATAACGTTCAAAATATACAATTATATGAAGCTGCTAGAGCCAGAGTGGCTTAATAACCAAGAAAACTGTGTGATAAAATTATTTGTGTAAGTGTGTGTTATGCTTACAATTTTCGGTTACTCTGCTCTTGTAGATTTACATATTTAGAATATAAATATCTCAAATCATAAGATTGCAGCTAGGCCACTATGGCTCCAGCGGCCTCACATTTAAATATATTACAATTACTAAATTCTAATAATGCCGATTCAAATGAAAATGTGTCTGTTTTAAAAATTTACACGTTCATATAAAACGCATTATTATATCTGCCTAGTACGTTATGTTTAATCAATAGTCCGTGTCTTGAAATTATTACTGCTAACGACGCCTTATAAAGCTGCTGACGTAAATGCATGCTGAAAAATTCCATGACATTTCCTTTACAATCTGTCTTATAGGTATAAAGGGAGAACAATCTTTAAGACGACAAAAGGCCATGTTCCTAAATAATCTCTGTAGTTTACGCGAGTAGTGCACATTGAAATATAACACTTTAACGGTTTAAAACGCGATTTATATTAGTTAAACTTATTTACACTATATACAAAGCAACTGAAACGTCGGGCCGTACTTAAAATGATTTCCAAATAATTTTAACCAATATATATCGAGTATTAAACCGTTTGTCTTTATTAAAAAGTGCTTTTAGTCTATATAAGGTAAATATATATGTAAATCCGAATATATGTCCGGATATCCGAAGCAAAAATAGGTCGATAGCGCAACTTGTGAGCTGTTATATGGCTAGGGTATGTTACCTTCATCACGTGAGCGCCATGCTTGCCTTTTCCTCTATTATTAAAAACGTACTTATGAACGGGATGTGTATAGGATTCGTAAAGCGGGTAACATACTCAAATCTAACGAATAAATACAAATTTGAGAGTCCTGTGTTTCCTGACAAAATATCTTAAAAGTTAAATAGAATTTGATTTTTTTTTTAAGTTTGAATACGTCAAAATGTTCCCCTTTATAAGTGACCAAGAAAGACGCTTTGATATTCCCGAATAATGTTTTGTAATATATCTTATTCATATTTTTTTTATATTCCATTTTTTAAAGATTTTAAGCACTATTGTTACGAGTTAAAATATGTTTTTATTAAAAAGCTGTTGAGTTTTCTTCTCATTTACGTGCATATGATTGCCTAATTAAATGCATAAAGATTTTAATACCCAAATAACTTTAAGACATATTTTAAAAGATTCAAAACATATTTTACTTGGACTTTAGAAATGTTATAATTTCGCAGCTTTTTACGACTTAAAACGCCAAATAAAATAGTACATTTATTTTTCCACTACCTGATACGCGTTGAAACGACGAGTCGTTGTTTAAAACTTCGAAATTGTATTCTCGAAAAGACCGAAGTAAATCATAGATATAGAGTATATTTATATAATCTGTAATTAAATTTATAACATAAAAACCTTACCTCTTTGTCAGTTAGTTGTCTGCAAAGACGCTATGAGCTACACAATAAAAATAAAAAGAAACGTGCAGCGCCACTGATAGCGAGTTGCTAAATGATCTGTATTGAGTATCTATTTATGTATATAATATACTTCTTAATAATTAAAGTGCGGCGGTGTTTGTCTAGTTTAAGATACTGTACCACGGCTATTTATAGAACTGTGTTTCAGATAATATCTATCCAGGCCGGATTTCTTTGAAATTGTCTATTGTTCGTTCTTCGTTCTATGTAATTTCAGTCGTTCAGAGTACCTACAGTTTGTAAAAAACTTCGATCTGTGGAATGGGCACAGAAAAAGTTTACTCCATGCCCCACCGGGGTAAACGGAATTTACCTTTTTTATATTAGAAAAACTTTTTACGTAGTTTTGCAAGTACGGCACGGTATACGGTATTGGCTTGAAACGGTTCAGATGTTGGAAAGTGTAAATCATTTAAAACTCTGGGTCAACGGTCTGGTTAACGGTTTAAAACGCGATATATTAGTTAAACTTATATGGAAATGATTTTTAACTTCGGGGAGACTCCCCGTGACCACGGCTGCGGCAAAGCATCCGAAACGTCGGGCAAAAGTTAAAAATCATTTCCATATAAGTTTAACTAATATATCGCGTTTTAAACCGTTAAAGTGTTTTATTTAAATGTGTACTACTCGCGTAAACTATAGACAGTATATAAGTTTATTATTATAATTCGCTTTTAAACCCTTTTAAAGTGTTTGATTTAATATTGCAATATATTATTTGATGCACTACTTCGTAGATTATATAAATTCTAAATTTTGAGAAACGTATTCAGTTGCCTCATAATTGTTAGTCTTTTGTAAAATAGTCTTCATTACTTTATCATTTGCAACATGACGTCTGTCGAGATATCATCCCTATGATAAGTTTTATAATATTTATTTTTATTAAGTCAGTGTGTACATTTAGATACATTTTTATAGCGCAGGATTAAAAGTACTGGTGGAATGCAGTATTTTTCCGTCCAAGTTTAAAAAATATTTATTGCCTGTTACCATGGCGATAGGTGCTGTCATCAACCAATTAGGAATCAGCCCCTTCCACGATACTTATTTTCTTATTAAATGTATACTACTTAATATATAAAGCTGCAAAGTTTGTTTATTTGCACTATTCTCTGGAACTACTAAGTAGTTCAAGTTGAAAACATTGCTATGTGACTAAAAAGAAACAGCGGGAAATGTGGAAAAAACGGGGAAATTTATTCATTTTGTTGGCTCCCGATGCATAGGTACGTTTAAATAAAACACTTTAACGGTTTAAAACGCCATATATTACTTAAACTTATTTGAAAATGATTTTTAACTTCGGCCCGACGTTTCGGATGCTTTGCAGCAGTCTCCCCGTGACCACGACTAGACAGTATTTTATAGGTACGTTGCTAAAACGGTTCAAGATACTAAAAAAATATGTATAAAAGAATTCCTCTAAAAAAAGAAGAAATTATATAAAAAAATGTTTGCGGCAGTATAATATGTCTATCTTTAAAGGTTAATTTGCAAGGACGCGATGAAGAGGTTTGCAAAAACAAATTTGGATGCCAAAGATAACTATTCTACGCGAACGAACTTGCTGACACAACTAGTATATCTAAAAAATCTGAACCATAAAAAAATCTTGCTTATAATATGATACATACTATTTGTATATATATTTATCTCTTCAAAACAAATGTCTTGAAGCCCTTCAACAATAATTATTACCAACATCAGGTCGATTAATTTGTGCCGTTTCAGAGAACTATGACGAAATCGGTCTATACGATTCTTCTATTATAAGCAGTTTTATCAGTATAATAAATGCCATGTCAGCTTTAAGGCATTTTAAAAAATATTTTTATAATAGTACAATACCTACCCACCTAACAGTTTGCCTTGTTATTCTTAATGTTTGTCGAAAACGCTTTCACAAAAGACATTTCTTTCAACGCCATATTACTGAAAAAAAGGGGCCTGTCTTGTTCTACGTATCAGCAGCGTGGCTAGTAACATACGAAAATAATTATTTAAAAAAATATATCAACTGCAATAGTCACTCATTACAAATTACTGCTTCATTCAAGAATGCACTTGAATGAAAGGAGTTTTAACTAGCTCAATACTTTTGAGTTTAATGTGATGTCACTAGAGATCGCCGACGATGTAGATATAATAGGTACCATGTCTCCAGGAGAGGTCGACAACATTTTTCTTTCTCCATTACTGTATATTATTTGATATAATATAATAACAATAAAGTTGTTACTGCTAAACTACTTTCAAAAATATGTTTAGTGATTTTTATTAAGAAATGACGGATGGCGAATCAAACATTCCATAATTTAAAACACTTTAACGGTTTAAAACGCGATGTATATTAGTTATTTGAAATTACTTTTAACTTCGGCCCGACGTTTTTCCCCGTGACCTCGGCTGCAAAGCATCCGAAACGTCGGCTAATATACATCGCGTTTTAAACCGTTAAAGTGTTTTATTTAAATGTGTACTACTCGCGTAAACTATAGAACGTACTTAATTCCATAATTGATTTCACTAATAATTTAATTTTGTTTAGGTACAAATTAGATAGTTAGGTACGTCCAGTCCCCCGCGCTTAGCGTGCAACGTTATTGTTTTCATCTATTTTGCTCATCATCGATCATTTTATAATACGGTATTATTTTATTTTCCTACTAAACATTGAATCGATCTAACGGTTTAACAACAGAGACATCTTTCATATTAGTAATCACAATAATACTTGTCAAAACAAACTATCTGCAAGTATGATAGTGAATACTATTTCAAACTACAAAGTTTGTTAAAGATGGCGCTTAACTAAATTAAGTCAATTGATAGTAATACTGTCAAATTGCGAATAATCGAACTCGCGATAAGTATTTGTAATTAGTATACGATTATAGACAAATAGGCCTGTCTTACATCTATCTTTTATGTAAAAGCGAGTTATAACAAACAATTGTGTTTCTTAAGAGTAAGTTTATTAATATAATCACTCGTATCGAAATATATTTTTTCAATAATCGATTAGTTCAACGTAGAATCGATTTTCTTCATTTTTCGGTAGTAATCTGTGGACCACGGTCCGCCCTCTCAGGTTGTTTTGTGATTCGTCGGGACTTGTTCGATGTTTTAGGAATAAATGAATGATGAAACAGCTGTAATGATACACGGGCGCAGCGTACTTTCTGTAAATTTGTGTAAATGTGTTGTGCGCTTTTATGTTCGGTGTACTTGAAACAAAATTTCCAGTGGCACATTTAAACATCTGTTACCGTTGTTTTGCAAACTTGAAACAACTCAGTGTACTTATCGTTTGTTTAAAAAGAAAGTTAAAACAAGTTGGTTTCCTGTGCGTAAGTTTGTAAATAAAAAAAAACTGTACTTGAACTTGGTGAATCAAACTTCATAATTAGAATGATTTAGAAAAAGAAAGTAGTGCTACCCAATATTTATAGAAAAGTCTAGGGATACAGTGTAAAAGCTATCGCTTTTTGTTTTGAAAATGTATTCGAGTATTTGAAATAATGTTATCGCAGCCTAAAAACAGGGTTCAAGCAATAAAAAGTAAATTCGAGAATTTGCAAACCGAAAACGAAGTGCTGGTGAAGAAGAACATCTCGCATTTAAGCAAGTACGCCCCCAAAAGTAGTGGTAATCCGATTCCTACAGACAATTCTGATAAGGAAAACAAAGAAGAAGTCAAGTTGTTAAATGCTACTTTAGATTTGAACCCCAGTGAAGATTGGACTCCAAAACCTAATACAAGTTATCTATATAGTCACAATGACTTAAATCACAAAGGTGACTCGAAAGTAACTTTATCCCGGCAATCTAGTGATCCAGGCAAGAAATTACATAGAAGTCACGCTTTTCGTTGTGACCGGAACCAGATTATAACACAACCAAAACGCCATGGAAGCTGCAATGGACGATCAGAAACCAGTGACTTCTCCCTAAAACGTAGTGATAAGAGACTCACAAAAGATCGCTTGAAGCAATTAGGAAATTTCATTGAAGAGCAGATGAGAAAGGACGGTTACATGGCAACTAATTCAATAATAGTTGGTCAAGTCAACTCTGTACCGGATTGTGAAGTACCAAAGCATATTCTGGATCAATATGCAAAAGTTGATAAAAGTAGAAAAGCAGAGAAACAGGACTCTTTAACAGACAGCGGTGTTAGCTCTGAAACAGAGAATGCAGATGAAGAGAAGAATAAAATTAAAAAGCTGGTTTCCCAGTATGAACGGCTTGATGATAAAGATGCTAAATTTTCCAAACAAAACTTGGATGGAGAAACCAGTCATAATATTCAATCAAAGCTAACAAATAGAGAAAGTCCACAAAGGGAACCATGTGAAAATGAAAGAAACTGCATATCCCAGAAGCTTGATAGTTCTCCAGGCTATGAATCTTTAGGAGAAACTGGTAGATACATTTCTCAACAAAGTCCCAGTGTTACAATAAAACATATTTCTCAGTATGAACAGTTTGAGGAACTACATTTATTTACTGAAAAGCTTGAGCAAATCAACAAGAGTCAGGTTGAAAAACTAAAAAATGAGTCTAATCTAGCATCTATGGACGAATTGTGTGGGTCCAGTGAAACCATGCGCTTGGAACGTAAGAACCCACACCTTATACTAACGGATACCTTGAAAAAGGCTTTAAAACAGCCTCTGCCACCAGGCCCACCTCCCAAGAAACCGCCACGAGTTTTTCACGAGGAAAAACCAAAGAAAGACACCAAGAAAATGCTGGAAAAACTAGAACAGGTGCTACAGAAACGGGAAGCTCAAAATCAAAACAAAATTTATGATATAGCCGAGGAATCAGAACGTGCAGATAAGCCGAGAGATAAGAAAGAAATGCATTATCTTTGTACTGAGATTTTGAACATATCAAACCCAACTACAGATCCGTTTACTAAATGCTTAAATTCTTTGAACTGTGCCATAGTGACTAATAATTCCACTCTCAGTCTGCCATATACTAGATTAAGCGATTGTCCCTGTAGTGATGTGCATTTGAGTACATTTAAAAGTGACGGAAGCAAGTGTCCCAAATGTGAATCCAATTCAGACAAAGACGGTTTCAAGTGCCATTTGAATTGTAAGTGTAAAGTGTTGAATTCCGAGTTCTATGTTCAAAGAGAGCATATATATGATGTACCGTTTGTGGAGAAGAGTGAATATGGATCGTTGATCAAGGGGACTAGAAGTATGGAGGATTTGAGGAAAATGGAGGTAAGTTTACCTGAGATTCTAACTCAATTAATACCAGCTTTGCATAAATCTAAATAGAAGATATAATTCTGATGAGACAAAATATTACCCTGGACATTCTTCTTTTGAACCATAAAGATTGTTACTATATATAGTAAGAAATATTTGTTTGTTACTTTTGTAGTAAAACATCTTATCATAATCTTTTAATAACACCAAACAGCTTTACTATAAGTAATATTATGGCTAAGTGGCTGCAGCCTACACAATTCCTTTCTATTTTAATTTCTGTGAAGTGACCTAGGTTTGGTTCTTGATACTTTTACATTTTTTGTCGTAAATATCAAACAAACTAATGAAGTTACAATGCGCTGTCGACCTCATCAAGCCATCACTGATCGATTTCCTCTCGATTACTCGAATCAGTGTAATCCCAGCTTAGGGTTTGTTTCCCACGCGTGGGCCGTGTCCGCCACGCTCAGGTGGTCGCTACGCTTCGACGGACCCGCCTCGACGCAACGCGATATGTTTTGATCGTGACATTTGTTGTATCTTGTTTCATTGTTTCTGAAATGTTGTCAAGAGAGACAAGGACGCGGCGAAATTGTGGCGCAATTTTAAGATATATGTTTAATTCCATAAACATTTATAGGTACTAAAGTAAAAAAGGATTAAGTATTTAGAACAGTTACTATGAGAGACATTTATGTACTGCTATTATAAAGCGGTATTAAAAAATATATTTCTATGTTTTTTAGGCTAATAATTTAGAAAGGCCTTGGCTATAAAAATATATAAACATTAGACTGCATCCTGTTGGTAGGAGCAAATAAACAGAAAGAATTGTGAAAAAAACGGGAAAAAATTATTCAATTCAAACCAGTGCTTCCTGAGATTAGCGCGGTCAAACATACAAACAAACTCTTCAGGTTTATATACATTAGTATAGATTTCAAATAGACAAAAGGTATCTTCTCTCGTTCAGAAGCCCTCTCTAAACACAGATCCATTTAACCTGACTAAACTGCGTGAATAATTAGATCCAACTTAATAATATCCCACTGACTTAGACTTAGGCCCACCACTCTGTTTTATGCGGTTTGGTGGGCTGCACCTCCGCCACAAAATTAGAAGTGATAACCGGCGGTTCGAAGCTGACACTAGAAATTTCCCAAATACCGAAGTTACATTTTGGCCAACCCAGAATTCGAACTCCAGACCTCGTAAACTGCTGTCCGATGCACTTATCCCCATGCCTATGCCAACGAAGCTGTCCGTGTCATGACTACGGAGTAACCAGGGTTACCAATTTGGTGAAATGCATGTCATCGGTAATCACCTGACCTTACCTGTCGAAATTAGAAATCGCAGAGAAAGTCGAAAACATGACATGTCGTTATTGTGTAGTTAGACGTCAGACTTAGTTTTTTTTTGTATTAGCATTTTTTTTACAATTTTTCACTGGTCGGCTTCAGTTTTTTCATCTTAATCCATTCGATCGGGTCGCTAGGTTCAATCATTTCCGTCCAACATGCTTCTAATAAAATACGCCAGTAATACACCTTTCAATAAGCAGCCTGTGCAGCAGCCGTGGTCACGGGGGACTATAGATGGAGGGTGTCTCTAATGTCTAAAACAAAAACTGCCACACTAGCGCCATCTTCCGTATTTGACGAAACGTCGGACCGCAATTAAAATTATTTTCAAATATTTTTTTATGATTTCGTCTTGACACGATATTATATGGGTGACAGGATATCCGTCAGGGTCACGAACTACCATCCACAGATGAAATAGCCGTCAAGTTTACTCGTATTTCGGTTTCAGTCTGTGAAGTCAAATATAATTTCAATCGTCTCTTAATAAAATATTCATTTTACGAACTTTGTGTACGGGTTTGACTTCGGCCCGTGACATTATATCGAAAATAAACGTATAATTACGTATTTTATGAAAGCATTAATATTTTTATTAAGTATTTCTACATGACTAAATTATACGTTATATTTTGACCCTCTTCATAGCTCAATGGTTAAAATCTTTGCGTTAAAAGATATACTTGGTTAAACATATCTTTCCCGAATTATGGGAAAACAATGAATTAACAAATAATATAGCTATTAATATTTTTACGTCTTATTTTGGTTTAGTTTCCCTAGATAAGTTTAGAAATTGTGTATAAGTTTTGTTTTGATATTTTTAAGATTATATTTAGGATTGTAAATTTTGTTTCGCCCACCTTGCATCTCGTTTTCCCGTAAACTTTCTCCCCTTTTTCTTGCCTGGAAGAGATCGCTCGTTAGCGATAAGGCCGCCCATTGCACTCCATAGTTTTAGTATATAAGTCTAGTTTATATTTTTTTGTAGAAAGTGTAAAAAAATATATATTTGGCTAGACCATTCCATGTAGTTGATCACATTCGCCTGTAAATTAAGTGGATTAGTAGATGCAGAAACGTGTTTGCCCCATGTCCCATTGTGGGACATGTTAGTTGTAATGCGAGAAAGATTTTTAATGTATGAAAGGTACAGGCGCTTATTTTCTAGAAAACAAAGATACTCCGATGGAATAAAACCTTATATGTAACGCTAATCTTTCCCTTCTTATACAGTTAGGTATTTTCACCTCTGTTCTCTTTCTAGACTGTGGTATAACAGTGTAGATACCGTACGGTTGATAATGAGGTGCCAATAGCACTATTGCACTTAAAACCAATATGTGTGGCACTTATTAAATGTAACATGAGTTTTGAGGAAATTCTAGTCTTATACGCCAAAGGTTTGGTATTTCTAGTTGTTTAAAATTTAAAGACATAGCTTTCATTTCAAATAAAACACTTTAACGGTTTAAAACGCGATATATTTTAGGTGAACTTGTTTGAAAATTACTTTAACTACGTTTCAGATGCTTTGCAGCAGCCGTCTCAATGTCTTTGACGTCTAATTAAAAAAAACTGTTACGCTAGCGCCTAATTATTAAGTAAGAATAATTTACAAATAAGTTTAACTAATATATTTCGTGTTCTAAACTAAAGACAGTATTCCTAGTTGCTTAAAATTTCAAAATATAATTTTCATCTCGTAATGAATACTTAAATTATGATATTATTTAGATATTTAGTATATTCTGTAGATTACGCGAGTAGTACACATTTAAATAAAACTATTTCAACGGTTTAAACGCTAAATGTATTAGTTGATTTATTGACAATGTATTTTAACTGCAGCCCGACGTTGCGGATGATTTTCAGCAATTGTCAGTAACTTATGAAGATTCATTAATTGTATGAAAAACACTTCTAAAATATCTCAAAAATTATGTGTAAAACATACAAACGATATAGAATTTTGCGGCCATTTTGCACAGCTGTTTGGGTTTTGCAGCTGGTCGGCTTGAGCTGAAGTTATCCTCAGTCTTCGCTTGGTCGACGCTTAAGCTATGAAGATGTCATTCACTAATGGTGGCGAACTGTCAAGTAATTTACGACGGTAGAAAACGGCCTCTACCAACTGGCATATCGTAAGTTGGTAAAGGCCGTTTTCTTATATCTTATTATGATTATAAGTTGAAAGATAATAAAAATAATTGTACTCAATTCGCAAAGTGACCTTATTGTATTTTAAATGATGAAGCGGGCTCTACAGAAGACCCCTACAGAGGAATAGGTTTCTTTCGTGATCAAAATGTCTGATGTGTCTTTTCCTATGCATTCCATTATATTATTATAAGTAAGCCACGTTCTGGGTCGCTACATATGTATTCTTCACAATGGTATGACACTACATAATGTTGTGAGAATTGATAAAATTACGAAAACACAGTGCAATGGTTGATTAATGACTATCCCAGGGAAACGGGTTCGAGTGTTATTAAACTAGAAGCCTTGAGAAGCCGGTTTCATATCCTGCGCGCGCGCATGATCGTGGTAACTGGCTTTTTGGGTTAGAAAAAGTTGTTTTTCAGAACATTAAAACGACGTCTCGATATAGTCTAGTTAATTATGTATTGAAACTTTCAACGTACACGCATCAATAGTTAATAGGCAGGATGCACAACTGGTTTTTCAAGGATCAAACTTTAGATATCGTTGCCTCCAATGCTTATGTTGCTATAATTAGACTGACTATAAGGTTAAAATTGTATAAACCAGAAACCGATTGATGACTTTTCCACCTGTAGTAGTGTAGTTAGTTAACCATAAATTTCTACACAGCCCATTAAATATCCAGATTTCCAAACGAAGTCCAACGTGTCTCAGTAAAAATTGATTATAAACATGTTGGACCCTTTTCTGCTACCATTACACGAACGATTTGACACTTGGGCTCCTCAGTCGTGGGACATGAATGAATTATTTTCGGATCGATACACAAACAAGCATTGCCAAAAGTAAATACACCAGTTTTACATTATCATAGCTGCAATTTATGCGCTATCGACCTATTTCTGTTAATATCGAAAATCCGAAAGCTGTTGCAATAATATGTACAAACGCACTCCACTTTACATCAATTGATTATTGTTGAAATTAATAGCATCTGATTACCTTTCGATTTTTTTAGGTAAATTATATTAATTAATGTCACACTTATAAAAACATTGTTTAGTGTATTTTTATCAGCAACGCGCCCATATCGGACAAGCTATCTGGGTCGATTAGCGATGATAGCCGTCGTTAAAAACAAAAGAAAATTGTACTTGGATATGGTTCCGTAGTATATTAAAACTAATAGAAGATAATCAATGTATTGTTAATATTGAAAAAAAAAAACGATAGATTTGTAAATCTAAAGGAAACTACAAAATAGGACCAAAGATTAGGTTTCACGTAGAGATGGGCCGAGTACTCGGTACGGTCGGTTGATACTCGGTACTCGGCGGGTTTTTTGATACTCGTACTCGGCCGAATAGCTCGGTTATACTTTGTTATTGAATAATAAAAAAAAAATAGGAAATATTTGAAAATTTCAATTAATAAAATCAAAACTATGCTAAGTAGTAATCATATAGTTATAATAAT